TATTTGTACGGGTGCCTCCACCGTCGAGGAGGCTCTCGTATTGCGAGACGAATTGATTGCCATCCTGAAGTCGGGAGGTTATGAGCTGCGCAAATGGTTGTCGAACTCCCCTCATATTTTGAAGGACCTCCCTGGAGAGGATCAACAAGACCCTCATCTATTCGAGCACCCTGACAATCCTAATTTGTTGACTGTGCTTGGCATTCAATATCAGCCTGTTCAGGATACCTTCACGTATCGAGTCAAGCTCGATCCCCCCCCCCTAAATCATGGACCAAGCGCTCTGTGTTGTCAAATGTAGCTCGCACCTTCGATCCTAATGGTTGGATTACTCCGGTCATCTTTTTGGCTAAGTGTTTCCTTCAAAAACTCTGGATATCCGGGTTGGGCTGGGACGATCCTATAAGCGGTGCTCTCTTGCGAGAGTGGCTCTCAATTGTGTCCTCCCTTCCAGACATCGACCGGGTCTCCATGTCAAGGTGCTTCCTCCCTCCAGGGAAATGCAGGGTTACCCTGCACGGATTTTGCGACGCCTCTGAGAAGGGTTATGCTGCTGTTGTATATTTGCGGACGGTGAGCTCTTCTGGCCATACTTCCGTCCATCTCGTACTTGCTAAAAGCAAAGTGGCTCCCATTAGGTCCCGCTTAACTATTCCTAAGTTGGAACTGTCTGGAGCTGCTCTTCTCACGCGACTGCTCAACCACGTTCACTCCTCCTTGAAGTCGGTAATCGACATTACGGACGTCTACGCTTGGTCGGACAGTGAGATAGTACTTTGTTGGCTCCGAGCGGCACCTCACAATCTTGAGGTCTTCGTGTCGAATCGCGTGTCCCAAATCCAGAATTCTGCCACTTGTCTAACGTGGAGACATGTCCCAGGGGAGTTGAATCCAGCAGACTGTGCTTCTCGTGGCTGTGAAGCCTCCTACTTGGTTGATCACCCGCTGTGGTGGGGGCCCGGCTGGTTAACTGAGTCTCAGGCGTTCTGGCCCCAGAACAAATACTCTGAACCAATTGAATTGCCTGGCCTACGAGCCCGAGTAGGAGTGGTCAAGGATAAGCCCACTCGTGATCTCTCCTTACTAGAACGGTACAGCTCTCTCGACAAGCTCTTGGGAGTGACTGCTTGGTTGCGTCGATTTGTCCGCAACTCGAGAGATCCATCTAACCGAATATCTGATTCCGCCTTGTCCCCTAACGAGCGGCGCGAAGCCTTGATGCATTGGACCCGTATGATCCAAGCGGAGCATTTCGAGCTCGTGATTGATACCTTGAAGCGGGGCTTAGTTGTCAAGGGTGCGCTGGCCCGCCTGAACCCCTTCCTGGATGACTCGGGGATGCTTCGCGTGGGCGGACGCTTGAAAAATTCTCAACTGCCGTACGAGGCTCGACACCCTCTCCTGCTCCCCAAGGACGGCGCCTTTGTTCGGTTGCTGGTAACTCACTACCATGTTCAGAATGCCCACGCTGGGTGCAACGCTCTTTCGGCTATTTTGCAGCGGGAGTTTTGGATTTTGGCGGGTCGACGCACCATTCGGAGCGTCATCTTTAAGTGCATATCTTGTTATAAGTTGAAGGCCCCCATATCACAGCCGATGATGGGCGACTTACCACCCGACCGCGTCAGGGCCATCCGACCATTCGCGGGAGTCGGAACTGACTTCGCTGGCCCCTTCCTCGTCAAGTCCTCTAACCTTCGTAACGCGCGTGCTCATAAGGCCTATCTGTGCGTTTTCCGTGTGCCTCTCCACTAAGGCTGTTCACTTAGAACTTGTAAGTGCCCTTAGCACGGAGGCCTTTTTGTCCACACTGGGTCGCTTCGTATCGCGTCGCGGTTTACCGGACCTGATCCGGTCGGATTGCGGAACGAATTATAAGGGTACTGATAGGTATTTGAAGGAGGTCGTTGAATTTCTGTCTAGCAACAGGACCTATTTAACTACTGCGATGTCCAAGAAGGGCATCCAGTGGAAATTCGACCCTCCGGCTTGCCCACACTGGGGCGGTATTTTTGAGGCGGTGGTGAAGGTTGCAAAGACGCATCTTCGTCGCGTTATTGGCGAAACTATTTTGACATTTGAAGAGCTTGCCACTGTATTCTGTAAAATTGAAGCAGTCCTCAACTCTCGGCCCCTCTGTCCTCTCTCGTCCGATCCGAATGATTTAGAGGTTCTAACCCCTGGCCACTTCCTGATAGGCCAGCCGCTTAACGCCCTGCCCGAGTACCCCTTCCGGGAAATAATCTCTTCGCGGTTGAGCAGATTTGACATGCTGCAACAAATAACTCAGAGGTTTTGGCACCGATGGTCTCTGGAGTACCTACATCTTTTGCAGCAGCGCGTTAAGTGGTCTGACAAGACGGATCCCCCTCGGGTTGGAGACCTCGTGTTAGTTAAAGAACCTAACGCCTCGCCCTTGTATTGGCGCCGTGGGCGCATTGTCAAGTTGTCGTATGGACCGGATGGGATCCCTAGGGTGGCGAGGTTTTGGTTGGAGATTCGGTTTTGCAACGTGCCGTCTCTACCCTATCCCGCTTGCCAATTTACTCGCGGACCTAGATCCTCATGTCCGGGACGGGGGTTTGTTTAGGCCGGATTTAACGTTTGGCGGCCTGCGGCGGCGCTCGGGTCGAGCGGGAGGCGAGCCTGACGGCTGAGGCGCGGGGGGTGCGGGCTGGTGCGGCGTCCGGCCGCGCCGGCGTCGGCGTTTTGCGGGTCACTTGCCGCAGAGCGTGGAACTGAGTAGTTGCGCGTCGTGTTAATAGCTTAGTCGCCCGCTGCCTCTGACGCCTATACTTCGCGAACCTGAGTTGTTTGCAACGCGGCCCGGTGATATTGCATTTTTCACAAAGGTCGAGTTTGTTGTAACGCGAGTTCGGTTAAATCTTGTTGGATTTTATTGGATTAACCTAATGACAATTGACTTGACTCCAATTAACAAGTGAGAAACGAGTGTAATTTCCCAGATTCTTAAATTTTTGTGACGGACTGCCACTTCGATATAAAGAATAAAGGTGAAGCCTTGGGATCGGCGGTTCTGCAACCAGCGGGAAGTCAGGTTACATAATTTAACACAATCACAACACAACACAGTCAAGCACGCCCACACTTACACCTGAATCTTCCTAGGGTTGACCCTACTTCGAAGAAATAGGTAAGTTTTGTTTGGTTCCCTTTTTACCGCTAACGTGTAATATTCCACAAGCCATTTAGGCCGACCTCCTGTTACTCGTCGAGTGGAACCCCTGATGGGCCCGGGTCCCACGACCTTGCCCGGGTAACTAGAGGCCGTAACAACGTAACGTTTCGAGAGCTTTACAGCACCCATGGTAACGGGAAGGACTGAGATGTTCAACGTCCAGATGTCATAGTTAACCGCGGTTACCATAGATTAAAATTTAACTTTTGTTCCGATCTACACAGTATGAACTTATGGTATCATGAAGTCTTGCAGTTGTATGCTTGGGTTAGGATTTAATTTTAGTTATTATAGGATCCCAAGCAGATGGTAGCACCCAGCCAGATGGCTGATGGCTGATTGCTGGGACGTTACACTTGACTGATGGTAAAAACTGACCAATCTTCTTCGGCGGCTTGAGGTATGTTTTGATGGAAGCGCGCTTCAAGATGTAGCCAATCTTGTCAGTGACTCCTCTAACATATGGCAGTACAGCAGGTACACGCTCGACTGTGGCCGGCTTCACTCGTTCTCTGTGACGTAGGCGCGGGACTCGAAGCTTGTTGTCATGCAAAACTTGCTTGACGTGTTGGAGCTCGGCAGCCAGGTGTTTACGAGCCATACTGTGTATAGAAAAAAGACCCATATAGATATTTAAACGGTGATTCTCACCACCATCCTTCACAGTTAGCAACCGTGAGTAAATCTTTGTTTCAGAGAGCACGAGGGATCTGTGACAGTAAACACCTGGCTGCCGAGCTCCAACACGTCAAGCAAGTTTTGCATGACAACAAGCTTCGGGTTCCGCGCCTACGTCACAGAGAACGAGTGAAGCCGGCCACAGTCGAGCGTGTACCTGCTGTACTGCCATATGTTAGAGTAGTCACTGACAAGATTGGCTACATCTTGAAGCGCGCTTCCGTCAAAACATACTTCAAGCCGCCGAAGAAGATTGGTCAGTTTTTACCATCAGTCAAGTGTAACGTCCCTCTGCAAGATGCAGGAGTGTACAAGCTTGATTGTGAATGTGGTCTCTCCTACATAGGACAAACTAAAAGATCAATTAAAACCCGCGTTAAAGAACATATAGCTGATGTGAAGAATCGACGCTCCGGGAAGTCTGCAGTCTGTGAACATGTACAGGATCGCCCCTGTCACTACATCAGATTTGATAGACCACAAATCCTCGCTAAAGAACACCGATTCCTTCCAAGGATGATTCGCGAGGCTATTGAAATCAAAAAACATCCTAATTTCAATAGAGAAGATGGCTGGGTGGTACCATCTGCTTGGGATCCTATAATAAATAAAATTAAATCCCAACCCAAGCATACAACTGCAAGACTTCATGATACCATAAGTTCATACTGTGTAGATCGGAACAAAAGTTAAATTTTAAATTATGGTAACCGCGGTTAACTATGACATCTAGACTTTGAACATCTCAGTCCTTCCCGTTACCATGGGTGCTGTAAAGCTCTCGAAACGTCGGGTATTTAAAAAGTTAAATATATGCGATAAATTCCGTAAAAACTAGTATTATTTCAATCGTCAGCGGTTATTCCGGACTAATACGACTTAGTGAACCTTCAGTAAAAGGCCGGCAACGCATCTGAAATCTAATGTTGCAGATGGTCATGTGTGAAGGTGATCACTTACAATAAGGTGAGCCGCATTCACCTTCTCTTCGTAAAAATAATATCTTTATTAATAAATTTATATAAATAAAGCGTATGTTGCATTTTCACTCAACTTTAAGACACCCACGACATAAGGTGGACATGCTTGACTAAGATAAAAAGCAAGCTCAGTATGTACTTACTTTATAAAATATCCCAACAGCAAGACGTCTTCTGTACTCGATAGAAAGCTCTGGTCGAACCCTCGTTATAACCAACTCACTATCTAAGATCTTAATCCCAGCTTGTAAAGTCTCATTTCTAAACAAAAACTTTCCAACCAAAAATTTTTCAGTTTTATAAGCTCTGATAAAATTTGGCGAAAGACCGCCAAAAGCCAATCTACATTCGAGCACCTTATTACAATTATCGAGTTTGTAGAGAAATCCAGCATGGACTATAGCACGAACATTTTCCGTCCGTGGCATTATCTAGAAAAGAAATAACTAATTAGCATTGATTTCTTAAATTTACGCGAACACTACATACAAAATTAAACTAATTTTACTGATTTTATTGTGTTTATATTCATTTTTTAATTCTTAACTTTTCAGGTGCTTTACAGCACCTATAGTCTCGGGGGGTGCGGACTGAGGTGTTTGACGTCCTGATATCATAGTTAGCCCCAGTACGTTCAGTTTTTAAATATTAATTTTTGGTCCGGAGCTTACACTATCTTGCAGTCTTGCAGTGCTATGCTTGGGTTTGGTTGGTTCCTTCCCCGGCCACATTGGTGACCCCGAGCTGAATACGTATTTGTTATGAGTACAGCGGTGATCATATGTCTGTCGGGCCGTCCGGCATTTCCAAAGTTGGGATTCGTATTCTGCTATTTTGGCCAGAAGAACCGGAGATTTGGTTTGCTCAGGTAGAAGGACAATTTGCGATTTCAGAAATAACTAATGATTCTACAAAATTGAATTACGTTATTTGTCACTTAGAACATCAAGTATCAAAGAAAATAAAAGAAATTATTGTGAATCCTTCTGTCAGTAATAAACACGAAAAGCTTAAGTCAGAGCTTATTAAGACTGAGTCCTTTTAATGAAAGGAAAGTTAAGCAATTTCTCATGCATGAAGAGCTTAATGACAGGAAACCTTCAAAATTTCTCCGGCACCTGCAAAGTCTAGCGGAACCTGACGTTCCTGATGAGTTCGTGAAAACAATTTGGACGAGTAGACTGCCAGCAAACATCCAGACAGTTCTGGCATCACAACCAACCGCCTCACTCGAGATATTAGCAGATTTAGCGGACAGAATCAAGAACACTGCTCCATCATTGCCTTAAGTAACTACTACCAGTTACTATGCACCTCCAACTCCTGGGCCCACGCTGGATTCGATGGCCAAAGAAATTGCATAATTAAGAAAGTAAGTGGAAAACCCAACAAGGCTCCTTTGGAGATCTCGCTTTCGCACGAGATATCATGAGCGTCGCAAATTTTCATCGTCGACCCGATCAGCATCTTCCTATCGGAAGCATCCTAAATTTTGGTTCCATGTGAAATTCGGTGTCAACGCAGTTGGAAAACATGAAGGGCAGTCGTTAGTGGCAACTGATGATTGCTCAAGTTCTACTGGTCGTCTCTTTGTCACCAAGCGATAATCGAAAACGCAGTTCCGGGAGCGAACTCTATGTTTAGAAATAGAAATAGAAATAGAAACTTTTTTATTCAATGTGGATTATAAAAATACTTATTGAAAGTCACTTTTTTAATTTACCACTGGTTCGCAAAAAAAAACCTCTGTCCTGGGAAGAACCAGCAAGAAACCCAGCGGGACTATTTGTTTTTAAATAATAGCCTACAATAATGTTTACAATTAACAACACAAGACAAATTAGAAATAGCTTGGTAGCGATCACCCTTCCCAGGGGTTATTATCATCTATAAATTCCTTAATATTATAATAACCCTTTTTATACAAACTTAGTTTAATAACATTTTTGAACTTTGTGTATGACAAATTTTGTATATTTTCTGGGATTTTGTTGTAAAAGCGTATACATCGCCCCAATAATGAATTACTGACTCGGTGGAGTCCAGTAACTGGTACTACCAGCTTGTGCCTGCTCCTAGTATTTACTGAATGAATATCACTTATTTTCGCAAAACTACTTTTATTTTTGTGTACGTACATTACATTTTCATAAATTTATTGAGAGGCCAGAGTTAATATATTAATTTCCTTAAATTTTTGTCTCAGTGACTCTTTTGGTTTTAAATTATATATTGCTCTAATGGCCCTCTTCTGTGAAATAAATATAATTTCAGTGTCAGTCGCGTGTCCCCATAGCAAAATACCATACGACATAATGCTATGGAAATAACTAAACTATTCTAGCTGTTTCAACACTGGTAAGAGTTCTAATCTTTTTTACAGCATATGCTGCAGAACTAAGTCTGCTAGCTAGTTTTGTATATGGGGGAGCCATTGAAGCTTTGCGTCCAGTGTGATTCCAAGAAAAATGGTGGTATCAACAAGACCCAGTTCCTCCCCATTTAAAATTACATTAGTATTGACATGTTTAACATTAGGAGTTACGCATTTCATACATTTAGTTTTAGTTCCATTCAAATGCAAATTATTAACATTAAACCAATTGACTAACTTAGCTATAGCATTATTTAATTCGTCGTAATTTAATAACTGTCGTTTTAATTTGAAAATTAATGAAGTATCATCAGCAAATAATACTATATCATGGTTATCCCCTACTATGTAAGGTAAGTCATTAATATATACAAGACACAGAAAGGGGCCGAGAATTGAGCCCTGAGGCACGCCCATTTGTACAATCGACCCGGAAGAACTCATACTATTAATAACAACTTTTTGTGTTCTGTCACTTAAATATGAAATAATTAATTTAAGAGCATCATTTCTTACACCGTAGTGTTGAAGTTTCCTGATTAATGTTTCATGGTGAACACAATCGAAGGCTTTGGATAGGTCACAGAACACACCCAAAGCATCCTGTGAATTCTCCCATGCATTAAATATATATTTAATCAGCTCAACACCAGCATCAGTTGTCGAGCGACCCCTTGTGTAACCAAATTGATTTTTATGAAGTAATTTATTTACATTAAGTTAACAATTGATCAAGAATAAGTTTTTCAAAAATTTTACTAAGTGTTGGCAGTACAGAAATGGGTCTAAAATTAGCGGGGTCCAATGTACTACCAGATTTAAATAAAGGTATTACTTGACTATGCTTCATTAAATCAGGAGACACACCAGATTTGTTACTACTATTAAATAGATAGTTGAGGTGCGATTGTATCTATTAAAGACGCAATAACTTTTACAGAAATCCCTCACAGATCGGCGGTTCTCTCAATATCAATAGTCTTAAATATTTTACAATATCTTTTGATGAAACTTTATGAAATGTAAAATTCTTTGTACACACATTTACATTTTGTTTAAGTAATGATTCGGCGACGGTAGGAGAAGAATTCAGTGACTTAGTGGTTAAGATCGGAATATCAGTAAAATATTTCTCAAAAACCATTGCAACGTCCTGATCTGATTTAGTTAATTTATTATTAAAACTTAACTGGTAGTTTGAATTGCGAGAGTTGACCTTACCAGTTTCACTATTAATTATACTCCATCTCATTTTGATTTTATTAGAAGCAGTCTTTATTTTGTTGCTTAAATACAATGACTTAGCTAAGGAGCACACTCTTTTAAATATTTTGGAATATTTTTTTACATATTCCCTAAATTCGACGCTAGGATTATATGACCTTTCATTGTAAAGTTCATATAACCTTTGTCTACTCTTATGGACTCCTACTGTCGCCCATTCATTAAATGCTTTACGATTATTCAAGGAGAATGTTTTAGAAGTAAAAGTATTATTAAATTCATTGCAAATGAGCTTAAATAATGTTGCATACAAAAAATTTGGATTATTTTGGTATGAAAGTAATGGAAGTTTTTTTACTATGTTACTTCTAAACTTCTCCAAGCGATATGCATTTACTGGAACAAACACTACTTTTTTATCTACTTGCTTTTTGTGAACATAAGGTAATGAAACAAATTGTCCACAGTGATCAGAGCTCAATTTTTGAATTATACATTTATTGAACGGCTAAACATTTATATTATTATTATTACATGTTGCACTAGATTCAACAATACGTGTTGGCTCCAAAAATAAATTAAAAAGACCATAAGATTTAAACAATGATCTAAATTTAATATTTGTGGAGGAAGCTTCTAGGAGATTGATATTAAAGTCTCCACATATTACAACAGATTTATTCTGTTTATTAAACTTAGCGAAAACTTCCTCCATAATTTTTTCAAAAGTATCATATAAAGAACATGGGGGTGTGTAAACGCTCACAACAATGAGGTGCTCAAACTCAACACATGCCATTTCTACAGTTCGCTCAACAGAGAGGCTCACAATATCTTTACCTTCTTTATATGATAATAATTTACTAGCTAAAATTAAGGAGCCACCTCTTAAAATGGTTTCTATATTGAAAGAACTGAGCACCTGGTGATTACTAAAGTTAAACATTAAATTATGAGCTTTTAACCAATGTTCAGTAATACATAAAATATGAATATTGTTGCTATTTAAAAACAATTCAATTTCTAGCTCTTTGCCTATCATGCCTTGTATATTCTGACGCAACAGGTGTAAAAAAAAATTATTATCATTTTGTGGAGTTATACAATTGCAACTATTAAGGATTTGTAAGCTACATTCTAAATTATTTAAATTATTATAACTGCTAGAGATTACCTCTATTGTCTCATTTTCTAATTTAAATTACTTGGAACGGATTCCAAATTACTTGTCAAATCATTATGCTGCTCAATAGGAGCAGATGTCCGGGTAGCCAAGTCCTTGGCTGAGTTAATATATAAATAACAAGATAGCACATTTGCTATCTGTCTTAAATTATATTTGGATAGGTAATACCTATCTGTAGTCAAAAATTTCTTAATTAAATTATTAATATCTATTAAATTAATTCTATTGGTATAATTGTTACAATTAAATGTCAAATTTAAATTATTGTTACATGATAAATTATTCATTAATAAATTTATTATATATAGTTTTCCCTCGTGCACGGCTTCCTGAGCGACGTACGAAGACAACCTGCTAACTCTGCGCAGCCAACGGGAGTGTAATCAACACGAATGGTTATGTATACCTTACTTTCCACATAACACCGCACTACACCAAGTCCTCTTATTTCATGCTCTCCCTGGCGTCTTGCCCCTAATAAATTGAAAATTGCGAAACAGGAGTTCGAGCCTGCTAGCAATATCACCAGACCATCAGAGAGTTCATGGGCCCCTCCCTTACATTTATTTCCAAAAAAAAAAGAGAATGGCCGGCAACCCTGTAGCGATTACAGGTTACTTAATGATAGAGCTATTCTTGATAGAGATCCGATAAGGCAATACTATGTCTTTACCCACAGCATCGCTGGATGCAACATATTTACTATCTTAGATCTTGTTAAGGCTTATAATCAGATACCTGTTAGCTAATTTGACATACCTAAATCTGCAATTACCACACCATTCAGTTTATACAAATTTAAGTATATGAGATACGATTTGCGTAATGGAAGTCAAACCTTTCAAAGGTACGTGGATGACTTCATAATATTTTCTAAAAGCGAGTCAGAGCATGGGGAGTATTTACGCAAGATGTTTAACCGACTGAAGGAGTACGGGATATTGATCAATACCTCTAATCGTGTTTCGGTGCGTCTGATGTAACATTTTTGTGTTACAGAATTTCCGCCAATGGGAATAAAGCTCTCTAGGAGAAAATTGAGGCGATAAAAGATTTTCTTCGCCCAAAAACGTTTGCCAGCTCAGAAAATTACTGAGCATGATAAATTTCTACCGGCGATTTTTGCCTAATGCTGCGAGCATTCAAGCTCCCTTAAATGTATTACTTGCAAGAGTTACAAAAGGTTCACAAACAATTAATTTAACTTAATACTTATTAGTAAAACTTTTGACGATTGTAAGCTAAGCCTATCTGAAGCACCTCACCTTGACACCCATTTAAAGCTTGCTCTTATTACTGACGACTCTAATATATAGCTTTGGATGCGGCTTTGTAGCAGTATAAAGACGGCAGGTGGCAACCGCTTTCGTTCTTTTCACGCAAAATGAATTCTGCGCAGTAAAAATATTCACAGTACGATAGAAAGCTTCTCGCAATCTTTGAGGCCAATAAGTATTTTCGGCATATGTTAGAGGCGAGACATTTTATTGTCTATACTGACCACAAGCCTATCAGTTTTGCTTTCCACGAGAGGAAAGGCAACTGTCTGCCTAGTTGGTATAGACACTTAGACTACATTTCACAGTTCATCACCGACATAAGGCATATATCTGGTAAAGACAATGTAGTTGCCGATGCCTATTCTCGAGTTGAGGATCTGCAAGTGCTCGTCAATCTCATTGGCCGAAGCTCAAGCATCAGATCTCGAATTGGCTGAACTTCTGAATGGTGGATCATCCCTCCGCTTAGAGAAGTATGACATTCCTGGGAGTATAACATGCATGTACTGCGATGTCAGTACACCGACTTCCAGACCATTTGTCCTTAAAGTTCTGCACAGACAAGTTTTTGAAAGTCTGCATTCTTTGAGACATCCAGGCGCGAACGCTACAGCAAAATTAGTTGCAGAGCGTTATGTCGGGCCTAGCATCAGAAAGGACTGCAGAGAGTGGTCACGTGCCTGCTTGGCAACAAAGTGACGCAACACGTATCTGCGCCTTTAGGGACATATAAATAGCCGCATGTAAGGTTCATGCACATCCACGTCGAACTTGAGGGGCCCCTACCACCAGGGCAGCAGCAGGGTTTTCGATATTGTCTCACCGCAGTCGATCGCTTGCTTTACACGGTGGCAAGAGTTTGTACCGATCGTATACATAACTGCGGACACCGTTGCCAAAGCACTGATGTCGGGATGGATCACTTGGTATGGCTATCCAGTAGACATTCTTACAAATCGTGGTCGACAGTTTGAATCCGTTTTGTTCCAGTATCTGTCAAAAATAAGTGGGTTTCAGCAGATTAAAAGGTTGCGTGTTCGGATCACGTCGGGGTCACCAATTTAGCGAGATAAATTGCTTAAATAAATAAATCCACAACACTGACAGTTGTAATCTTAAATTCAGCACAAACAAGCAGAAGAATCACAAGCCACTGTTTGGTTACATTACAGCGTTATAAATTTTACATGACTCACTGCTCCTATAATTATAGGCAATCACAGTATGCGTTGTGTTACAATAATCGCGCGGTTAGGCGCTTTTCCAGTTTAGTATGCAACCGCTTGTACCGATCGTACGCACTTAAGCGCCACAAAATTTCAACCGCGGTGGTTGAACGAAAGCCGCGGCCCGCTCGCAGCACGAGAGAGATCGCTAAGTACCACCACAGCCACAATACAGAGTCCTCTTTACCTGAGGATGTCCCGTTTAGAGGCGAAATGCGTTATTATCGTCAGTGGTTTTTTTTTTGCGCCCGAAGCAAATATGGGCAACCCTCCGGAAAGCGGGGGAGGGATGCGGTGAATGCTCATAGCATACCACGCAGCCGGCTGCGTGGTTATGTGGAGACTTTTACCCACTAAACACCGCCTTTATGGATTGGCTTACCGATCTGACAAGAGATCTCTAAGCCGTATACGGACGCGACCCTCCTTTGCAGAAAGGAGGGCGCAATCGACAGTGGTGTATCTTTCCTAGTGTAAGTCAAAAGTTTTGTCTTTATATTAAGAAGTTGTGATAATAGCGCCAACTCTCTGTAAAAAAACTGTCTTTTTTCCGTTCAATTAGGTATTCTATTTATTATTACGGTTATGTGTGTGATGTGTGTGACTGGACTGAACTCTAATGATATATTTTTATATAAATGCGTAAATATATAAGTAACTTCTGACTTTGATTAGATAATCAAACAAAGCTTTTTATTTGTATTACTTTCCGAACGTTATCTATTAAAAAAATTGTAACAAAATTGTACTTTATCAATGTAAATAGTTATTTGATAAAATAAATTTTGTTATTTAATAAATTATAAAAATAATAAGTTATTTAATAAATTTTGAAAGAAATCAATAACTACCTCTTTAACATAAGTTTATTTTACTTTAAAAATATCGCATAAGAAATTTCGTTTATATCGGATAGACTTAAATCTGTAAAAGTATCCATAATTGTATAGTTAACACTGCAATCGCAACGTTTAATTTAGTTTCATGAGAGTCACGTCGCACTAGGGACGTGCTGAGAGGAATTTTATTTTATCTGGATTGGTTGACTGGCTTCCCGCGAAGTATGCCTACATGCCAAGTCGGGGCGAATATCGCTAGCCTATTACAAAATTCACCAAAACAACATTGCACCACATCAGGGGTTATATTAAACATAAGGTGTCACTACAAAGCTTTGAAGGAAATAAATTAATAAATATAATAAATATGTCTTACTACCTTATAAGTGACCAACTGGCATTGAGTAGACAACGGTGGTAGAAGTACGTTCAGAATAATCTTCCCGCGCATATTTTCTTTTAGAAAATCCTGCATTGTCACCGTTTTCTTTTCTGAAGGCGTTACTGAAACAAGTTTAAACAATTCATGAATTTTAAAGAGGTCATAATTTACAGTACACAATTAAATAAGATGTTTGTTCTTGCAGATTAGATCTTACACATATCTGTTTATATATTTTCACAACATTTTAGTTAGTAGTTTAGTTAGTACCTCACTAAGAAAAATATTCATGGAGAATAATCGGTCGTATTTAAATAGAACTAAATTTAACAGTTTATCGCGTATATATTAACTTTTGTTATGTTCCCCACGTTTCTACAGCATTTATGATGACGGAGAGGACTGAAGTCTTCCGTTCATCCAATTTTTTTTTATAGAAGGGGAGGCAAACGAGCATGCGGGTCACCTGATGGTAAGTGACTACCGCCGCCCATGAACAACCGCAACACCAGGGGAATCGTAGATACGTTGCCGGCCTTTTAGAAAGGAGTAAGCTCTTTTCTTGAAGGTCCTTAAGTCGTATCGGTCCGGAAGTCGCCGGTGGTAAATAATTGCACAGAGAAGTTGTACGAGCAAGAAAACTCCTTGTAAAACATATAGTAGTGGACCGCCAAGTATCCAGATGGTGAGGAGGGTATCCGAAATTTTGACGTAAAATCAACCAAACAAAAAAACAAACAAAATCCTTAAAATCTAGTTTTATTTAAATGTGTAGTGTTCGTGTAAATACAAGAAGTGAGAAGAGGTATATGAATTACTTTAATAATACCTAGTTCATCATGTCACTTACATAGTCTTTAAATTACTTTACTAACTCATATAGACCATGGTCCGAAACAAATTTTGGGGTTTTTATAGAGAATTCCCATCTGGTTGGGCTGAATAAATATATAAAAGAAAATGATAAATAACAAATATATATATATGTATGTATGTATGTGTATGTATTTATATATATATATAATATATATATATATATATATATATATTATAAGCATAAATAAATACATAATACATAAATAAATGAATGTCCAACCAGATGTAGGCATTCGGCAGGGGAGAACAAACAGCCGAGAGTTATAGGGAAAGGGAAAGAAGTCGGCGGACGCTATGGGCGGAATCGAGGGGCACCGCCTTTTGCATTTGCACGCTAGGCGGTTCGTGACGGAGTCGCAGTTTCCTCAGACAAACAGAGAGACTGACGGGAATAAGCCTGTTCACAGAGACAGCTACAGGTATAATTCGGTTGGCAGACCACCCCACATAACAGTCACCTCGTGAGCCAGTCTCAAATGATTTTGTTTCTTAATTGCTTCCGCTTTCTCTAGATTCTCGTGGTACGAAATGGTAATATTGACCAAAAATATATTTGCCCGGTCCATCAGCTCAATATCAGGCTTATTCGCAAAAAGCTATCTGAGATGATGGACCGGTCCCAGTAGAGCTTCACGCGATAATTTTCGAGCAAGGCTTCCGGCTAGTACAAGTACTTGTCGGAAGTCTTTCAATAAGGCAATTTCCGAGCCACGAGAAAATATTTCCGAATAAGAAAAATAGTGTACAATCCTGGCTACTAGGTTTTGTCTGTTCGAATACTCAGAAAGCACCGAACAACCGGAGATAACATGCCTAAGTTATAACTATGTCTACAATAGGCTCATGTTGAGCTTTGTAGAACCACCCATGCAGCTCTTTCTCCTTCCATACAGTCTCCTGGTCTGAAATGCTCTGTAATGTCGGGTCTTGTCATTGCTCGTTGAGTAAGGATAGAAGGGTAAGCCATTTATCAGAAGAAATGACGTCCTTATAGAAAGATCTCGGATGGTGCATCCTATGGGACGTAATGTTAGTGCTGACTTTTCAATCCAGGGCGTTTAATTCAGTTTGAGTCTACGTGAGTATGCCAAAGGTATACATGAGGACAGGCATGGCCCAACCGTTATTTGCGTATGTCTTATTCACGCCCAGCAAGAGGCAGTCAAGCAATTTGGTCTAGCGTGCAACAGATCGTAAACAGATGGTTTCATATCCGCCTAATCTATACCTATATTTTGTGACACACCCAGGTATCGGTATGTTTTAGCCTCCGAAAGGGTCTTTATATTCATGGGCATAGATAAGTCCATGCCCTTGAGAACTATCCTATCCCTCTCAAAATAGTGAACCATACACTTTTTCGTCCCCATCGCTCCCAAAACCCACTCGCACTCAAAATGGATGTCAGTGTCTTATATATAGTAGGTAGATACGTGATTGGATGGTAGTTGCTCGGTTCAATGGTATCCTGATCTTTAGGAACCAAGTGAGTTATCCCAGTAGTAAAGAGGCTCGGGAGCGACTTCTGATCGAGAGTCTCTTGAAACTGTCGGGCGAGCATAGTATCACGAACCCCTTCAGCCAGTAGTCATGCAGCCCATCGAGTCCCGGACATTTCCAGATCGGTACCCTACGGACCACCACAGCTAAGTCTTCCAGCGTTATGATAACGAGGTTCATGGGCATAACATTGCACACTGATTAGCCACAACTTCCGTTCAAGGGACTTCGCTGTGGTTTACTGGCTCGCACTCGGCTGATGGCCTGCATGCCGTCGCGTCTAGCGCCAGCTCCAGACACGCCCAGACAACCTCCAGCCTTCAGTCAGGCAGAACCTATGCGCGTTCTATTTTTTCCATCATCCATAATATGATCGTCAAATAACGGGAGACGCCCAGGCCCAGCACCGTTTCAAGGTGCCGCCGTAAGCATAAATGGGACTTTGCGCACTTAGTTCTGCCAAGGCACGGTGCTTACACCTCTTGGCAAGATGCTGGCTGACTGGGCAATTGTAGCAGTTTTGTCACTTAACTGTTACGTCAGCAGACCGTGGAGTCGTCACTAGAGCAGTGCACCTATCAATTATTATAATAAATAAAAACTTACATAAAAAGTAGATAGAGGATCATAAATTGAACACTGATCAATACATCTTATTTTTAGTGTTTGAAAATTGTGCTACGTACAAATAGTTAGTCGCGCGTCGACTGTTTCAAACAGAAGAAATAAATCAGATGGAAATTCAGGATGTTGGTGTTATATCATTAGGTTCCCAGCAATTGTCCCTATCTGAAAGTAATATAAGGTTAAAAAAATAAAATATCACACATTTGTCATGACCTGGAAATATCCTAATGAGAATGCTATTGTAAGTCACAATCACATGAGTAAAAATTCAGTCAAAAATTTCAGTATTATCAGCGGTATATCTGCAATATTTCAGGCTATCCAAAAATAAAAATTAATTTATAATTAAATTCATAAATTTAAATTATGAATTTAATTATAATTTAAAAAACAATTGTTTAGAATTAATTGAAAAAATTCATTCATTTACTAGCACTTTCTGTCTTGCCTCCGGTATACAATATTGTATAAAAAAGGGAATGCAGTATTAAAATTATCCCACTTGTATATTAAATATTTTTAATCTATAGTCATGTTTTATATCCCTTAAAATCTTTTCCCTTAACTAAGGTTTGCTTCATTCATACAAAGAGACATAATTCTTCCTGGATCGATATGTTATACATAAGTTACACCAAGCGTCTAAGATTACTATCACAATTGATGCCTCTGTCAATTGCTGCTTAGGACAACTACTAATTTGATCTAATTTTTTTATAGGATGGGGTGACAAACGAGCACACAATCCACCTGATGGTAAGTAGTTGCTGTGGCCCATAGACATCTACATCTATCCTCGATTACGAATCAAAATGCAGATGCGTTGTCACCCGTGAGGACTAAGATGAAATGCCTCGTTTCCAGTAAAAGGGGTCTCCGGTCCCTACACTCACCATACGAAACACAGCAGCATTAAACTGCTATTTGACGCTGATATTCCGTGAGAGCGTGGTCCTTCCCCGGTCGAGCCAACCCATTCTTGCTACAACTATACTACTAATATAACTGCAGCATGGCTCTACCACGTATAATTTATTATTCGTAGACTATTTACAAAATGAGAATGATGACAATAATTTCTGATATGTTTTTCGTCGTATCAGAAAATTTTTGAATTAAAACACAACTAACACCAATACTTCCCAAAAATTCGTAATAAAATCATAATAAACAATCATTACAATAAAAATATACTCCTTCAAATTTAATCTGGATTAAAAATAAAGTTATAATTCTTACATTTCTTACGGCAATATGAGCTACCATTTTTATGTGGTTGTAGAATTTTTCTAAATATTTAAAATAGTAATTTTCCGCACACAACAATTTAAATATATTTAGAGCTTCAGAAAGAGTTGTTCCAGCACGAAGAATCAAGTTTTGGTCTAACAAGAAGCCCTTTAATTCAGATATTCCTGTGATATCAATCAATACTCGAGGATATTTGTCCATTGGATAGACTCCTGCAAAGAATGTATGACTATTATTTTCTTATCAAGAGAAAACTTTTTCGCAAAAAATAATTAAAAGATGCTATAAGAAACATAATGATTAAACTACTTAATAAGTGTTTTGCTTGATTTGATGATTATTCTGAATAGTATATTAGTTTACATTTTATTTATTTTTAGTTTTTACTACTTAGCCTCATGATTGACTGGAAAAGAATGCTCTAAGATATTAAGTCCGCCGTGTTTGCTATTTGTGTGCATAAAAGTTAAATAAATATTCAAATAACTTTTTATATATCTAGATATTTTTGGAAATAAATGTAAGTTCAATATAAACTTACTTAAGTGTGCACACTGTGTACTTCTCCAAATTAATTTTAATAATTGTGGGGACTGATACCACAACAACTCATATAACATGAGCAGATGACAGTGGCATTAGTTAACGAAAATCGACTGCAAAGCTTATGTTGTTCTTTACTGTTAAGGCCCCTAAATATAAAAACTTGGTATTAAAAAAAAATTGGTATAACCGATACGTTTAGAAAAGCAATGGTATTGTATCAGACATCTTCCAAAGCTAAAGTCATCAGTCATCTAGTAATTTTATTTAGTCGACTCTGAGAAACTAACTGAGTGGTATGGTGTTAATTTCCCTTATATCGGCGTCACATTGAATTTCATCCTTTTAAATTAATTTACCAAATGTTTAAGCCCTGAGACTATATTTGCAACCAAAATTTCTTAGAAACTAGGGTTATTTGCCAAAAATTATCAGTTTTTTATTTAAGTCTTAAATAAATTAGTTTTTTATTTAAGTTATAAATAAATAAATAATGACGTAAAATATTTGCCAGTAACAGTTGACATTTTTTACAAGACATTTAGTGACTGGCCGACAGTAGGAATTCATAGTAGCAGACGAAGATTATATGAACTTTACCATGAAAGATCAAATAATCTTTCCGATACTTTTAGAGGATATGTAAATAAAATCGCAGATATATAGGGCATTTCCGTTATAGTTATTGAATCCATAATAGATTCAATTGCGCCTCATATTGCTATTATTTTTAATACTAGTATCGGATCTGGTGTGTTCCCTGATTTAATGAAATATAGTTATATAACACCTTTATTTAAATCTGGTAGTACATTAGACCCCGATAGTTAAAAGTTGTATAAAAGTATATAAATAATATTTAAAATACCTTTAGCTGTATTACCAGCAACTAACATATATGAGTCATCACCCCTAGCTTGTAATATATCAAATACGTTCCTCAAATCAAATACTTTGTACCAATCTCTACCATCTATTAACCTGATGTATATGATTGGCAATTGTTCAACTTCTTCTTTTAACACCATACACCAATCATAGTCCTCGCAGTTATTTTTCTTGCATCCTCCATCTTTACCCTTACATATATGTAGATCTTCTATATCAGTTATTCTATCAGAGTCAGGAGCGTCCACGGCAAACTTTTTAAAAGCATCTAGGATTGGTCTATATCCTGTACATCGGCAGATATTACTGCCAAACGATTGTTCAATCTCAAGCATAGTAAGATTTTTTTTGCTTTGAAGTAAACTGGAAAAGAAATTTAAATACTATGATTAAATGTTGTTAGCCTTTTCATCTGAGTATTAATGTGACTATGAGCTTCTTAAATTCTTCTTTAATCTTTAAATTAGTTGCAAATTAATGAGGATTGCATTAGGATCTTACTTTAAATAATTGTTTTCAAAATTACGTTCGCTCTTTCTATAAGACACTTGATGAACTCTTTTATTTATTTATTTTTAGTTAGTAGATGTTACCCCTTAAACTAGGATTTACTTCTGTATAGTGGAAGCAGTTTACACACACAAATTTCATAAGCAAAAACTTATCTATTATATATTAATAGGTGTTTACACATGAAATTGGCGTTTTGTACGGGAGGAATATAAAGTCGATTTTTTTTTTTGTAAAAATATATGCCATCAAAAACATAACTTGTAAAAAAAAACCAAGTCTCGCAACTCAGTTTTGAAAACAACATGCATCTCACAAGTAATTATATTGTTTAGTGCAAAAGCCAAGTCAATCTATTTATTTAAAACATAAAAGAATTTTAACATTGATATGGTTACTATAAGATGTTAGGTTAGCTAATTACGTAATAACTTTAAACAGAAGGACCATTAAGGGTAAATATAACCTCAAATGGCTTAGCAAGATCCTCCGTTATGCCGAAAATATTGCAGCATTAATTTTGAAATAAATATATGGTAAAGTTGAGGATTAATGTTAAGGACTATGTTAGACGAAAACACGATTCCGTAAAATTTTCTCGATAAAAAAAATCCAATTTTACCTCCAAAATAAACAATAAACCGCTGTTATTCGTAAAATATTTTAAATAAGATCATGAAACTTTGCATACTAACTGAACTAACTATAAAGCAGTGCTTATGTTATTTACTTTTTTTTAAATACCATTATTTTCACTGTAAAAAGATATTACCTAAACTATCGGCGTAATGAATCTTGATTCCTGCCGCCCGGTCAGTTTCGCTCCAGCCTTTGAAGGTGGAGGTTGTGTCGCTTACGATCAGAATACACATTACGCAACAGGACGACGTAAAATTAAAATAAAATGAAAATAACCGTAATAAAAATAAGAAGCGACTAGGTTGGCGTAAAGAAACAGGCATAAATATGACAAACCTAATGAAATAAGTATCCAGCGCCCTATCTACTTACAGTATTAGTGATTACAAACATGTCAGTATATAGCATACGACGCGCAGGGAAGTCGGGGCGAAATTAGATTTTGAGCTGACTTACTATATCCCCTTAAGTAGGGACTGAGTAAATTAACCGACTTGGTATTAAATGGATCTCACAACTTTTTACGGTAGAAAAGCTGAGTTGCGAGACATGGTTCTATTTACAAGTTATGTTTTTGATGGCATCTCATTTCTATTTGATGATTAGATATTCTTACTTTTTTCTCTTATTCCATTTATGTATTTCTTTTATTCTATTATATTATACATATACACTGTACAGCTACACCGATTCATTTACTGCAAATGTAATTTTTTAATCCTATATAGGGTTACAAAGTTATTTATGCAGTTAGTGTATCTAGATAACTGGACCTAAATTGAAAAATAGTTTAGTTTTTTCTTGATTTATACACTAAATACTAATTATGTTCTAAGTTTAAGGCTTCTATGTCTGCTAGAAGTGCCTTAGAATTTTGATGATCGGTCAGTCAGTGAGTGACAAAATTAAGAAACTTTGACTAATTATAATTCCTAAAATACTAGTTCAAATTGAATGAAATTTGAAATATACCGTGTCTATACAATACCTGCTTGATTTTTGAAAATTCAGGTTTCTAGTTCTATCCACAACGAAGTTATAGTGGGTCGAAAAAAAAATTAAAATGAATTGCTTCGAGAAAAGTATGGTACGGCCGTGCCGCTTTTCTGCTCGACTTGGCGGGTGCACGTCCCCCAGATTTAATTGATCAAAGTATGAATCGTTGTTATCTATGCACTTTTGCCATCTCATAGGTAGTTCATTGATCCCTTTACTAAAAAAACATGGGGGGCCAGAACCAATAAGCTCTTTGAAGGCGGTTTGGACTGCCGCTTCGGAGTTGAATTTTTCTCCCTGTAAGAAGTTGTCCAAATTCCGGATAAAATGGTAATCTGTTGTAGAAGGTCCGGAAAGTACGGTGGATATCGTAGACATTCCAATTGTAGCTCATCTAACTTAGTGGTTATGTTTGTTGTGCAGTGTGTGGTCTTGCGTTGTCGTGAAGCAGCAGTGGCCTAGAGCGATTGACCAATCTCTGTTGTTTAGCAGCTAGTTCTTCCTTCATGGTTTGCATTTGCTAACAAAAGATATCTGCCGTAATCATTTGGCTAGACTTCAGAAAGCTGTAGTGAACGACACCGACGAGTTTGATTCACTTAATTCATGAGGTTCCCATCGCTTAAGCTTATTTACTTTCCCAACTTGCTTCAAGTGGATTAATACAGTTTTATCACTTACCCCGCAGCCTGCAGCTATCTTTGAAGTTCTTTATGATGCATCCGCTTCCACAATTTCCTTTAATTCCTTATTTTTCACTTTGGTCTCCGGCCGTCCACGCGGTTGGTTCTAAAGGTCGATATTTTCAGAACGAAAACATTGAAACCAAAAACGTACCGTGATTTCTTTTGCGACACCAGCGCCGTACACATAAATAATCCTTTGAGCTGTTTCTGCAGCACTGGTACCACAGTTGAACTCGTACTTGTAAATACACCGATATTTCATGTTTTCCATTGTGTGGTAATAAGCGACGCCAAAGAAAAAATAATGAGGAAAAACTAAATGAATGATTGTTTTCAAATTTCAAATGTACCAGCTAAATGAATTTATAAATTTGAATTTGGAATTCTTAACGAAGGAGGAGATATTTCAGATCAAAGTGATCAGTACGACAAAACGCTAATCTCTTATATAATGACCCAACATTTTGTACTTGGTAGAGCCACGCTGCAGTTATTATGGTTGTAAATATTATTATTACTGGCGTAAAATAACAGATGCTCTGCTTCGTATGGTGAGTGTAGAGAACCGAAGACCCGTGTTACTGGAATCGAGGTATTCCATCTTAGTCCTCAAGGGTGAGAATGTATCTGCATTTTGATTCTTAATCGAGGTTAAAAGTAGATGTCTATGGGCGACAGCATCCACTTACCATCAGGTGGACTGTGTGCTCGTTTGTCACCCTTACCCTATAAAATAAATATTTATTTGCGCTTGCCATCGAAAACTTTACAACTATGTCTTACTTTAACTATTTAATAATGAACCGCAGTTTTCACCATGTTGTCACTACAAAAGTTATTGTAATAACTGGAACGTATTAACTAATTTTGTTGCTAAATCTTAAAACAATAGTTACATTTTTTGACCTAAAGCTACTTTTAAGATATTTATTTTAGGAAAGACACAATCACAAAAACTAAAATAAAATGATACTATCTTATTGTTTTTATGGGATTGTTATTTATACTTTTCATATTGTTCACCATTTGGTGGATCCTAGTGCCACTAAATGTCTTCCATTTAAAATATCTTATAACCTTTAGATCACAATAAAAATTATTTGATATGATGTAATCAAAAAACTACCCTTGATTAGAAATTTCGAAGCTTTCCACCGTCTAGATTAATCTAAACGCGCATAAAAATGTATGTTATTATAAGTTTACCTGTGCATTGCCATGACCCATCCCGGGGTGCAGTAACCACATTGAGTTCCATTGTATTCCGCGAGTGTAGTCTGTATTTTATTATATCCAGTAAGGCGATTTCCAATTCCTTCTACAGTCGTTATATCCCAACCATGACACGATGTTACGAGCACCATGCACTGATGTATAAAGATTTTTTATAATTACTAGTAATAAATATGTTCCTGATCGTAATATTACATAACCTAGATTATTATTATGTTCTATTAAATTAAAATTATTTATTGAATAACATTTAACGAACTGGCTTTGTACCTAGATTTTGTTCTGTTCCGGTAGGTAGCGCGATTACTTACTTACTTTTACCAAATTTACTTAGAACTATTTACAGCGTAAATGTAAAATTTAAAAATAACTACAACAAACTTCACCTATCGCGTCAACAAATATTGTGAGCCTTGCGGCATGGGGTATAATAATATAGAATATGTTTATAACTTTACTACAGCGGCAACTAACGGATTCTGGCTTAGCTATGAAGATTCCCGCGGACCCCGTGTTCGATCACTCTTGATCAAACTTGTTGTTTAGAAGCGAATGAACAAAAGTCCATCAAACCATTCGTCGCTAGGCGACGTTTGAAATAGTTAAAAAAAATTGTCGTGCGAGAATATTCCCGACTTCCCGACACAGATTGTTACGGTCCTGAGTTACCCCGACAAAGGTCGATTGAGCTAGGGCCCGAAGTAGCCCAATTCGACGAGTAACAGAGGGAAGGGTCCAATGACCTATGGATAATTAAATTATAACGGCTAGATACGCAAACACAAAACTTACCGAATTCCAGAAGTGTAGAATCTACCACAGGGTGGGATCAGGGGCAAGTAAACGGTAGTGGGTGTGTAGTGTAGGTAAATGTAAATGTAACCTGACGTCACCGATACAATCAGATAGCAACACACGTGCGCCGACCGCTCCACAAGACGCCCACTGCTATCGGAACTAAAGTCCAGCGTCACTTAGCACGAACTATAATCGCGCACGATCTACACCGGGATCACAAAGTTCAGCGTTCCACGCGGAAGCATAATTCCTTCGTACAATTTAACTAACTTATTTTGACTTTAATTAACTACACAAGTCACTCGTCAATGCAAATCAATAGCAATCAATCTAAGTTAATTCAATAATTTAAAATCAAAAAAGCCTCGTTGTCACGTATATTAACGACAAAATACAACAACATGGAGGCCGCCGACGTGCGACGCAAAACTATTATGTAACGCCCGACGTCTAACCGGCATGGCCACAGCGCGCCAAGCTTCCTGCCGACTGGGGCGCTGGTAGCGTCGTACGCGCACAGACAGCCCCCCCCTTCCCGCGCAACGCTAACCGTTTCCTCACCCCGGAACGCACCTTGCATGCTTCAAATGCTACACTTGGCGTAAACACAGATCCTTTTTCAATATAACTCGATATTTCAAAGTAAGATCGAAAGAGTGTAGAGGTAAATTTGAAATTGCTTTTTTTTTACTTGTAATTTCGAAATAAATTACAACTAGCTAATATCTCATACAAAATAAGTCGCCGATCTTTCTGTGTGGCCTGTCATATTATATAATGTCTTATACAATACGTATTTATATTTTCCATATGGTAGCGGCCTAAGAATATAATTGATAGAATCAGGCGTTACTTTGCGGAAATCCATTATACTAAATTATTACTTTGCAACATTCCGCTAACCAATTACAATGATGTGTCTTATCTGGATTGAAGAGCACTTCCTGCCCCCCCTCAATTGCATGCACTAACTCCGCACTAACTCCGTCACCACTAGTCCCAGCACCACAACTCCCAACGTCACTACTCCCGGCACCACTACTTCCAACACCACTATTCCAGGTAAGACACACCATCGACGACAATACGACACGTGTTTCGCCTCTACACGAGGCATCCTCAGGTAATGTAGACTTTACGGCGACTGACCGCTAAGCTTAGCGGGGTGCTCTTCAATCCAGGTAAGAGGTAAGACACATCATTGTAATTGGTTAGCGAAAGGTTGCAAAGTAATAAATTATTTATTAGCCTAAGAATATGTCACCTGCATTTCGTCTCGTAAACATTGCAAGAGGGGACTATGGGAAATGCGATAAAAACCTTATGACATCCGATAGATGGCGGTATAATAAAAATCTAGTTTACGTGGGACGTAAAATACCCACACAGTTGACGGGCAGCAGTATAAAATATGCAGGACATTTGGATAGAACAATATATTTTGAATAGAATATTTTAAGCTATTGCATAGCTTCTATCGCGGGCCTTGAGCGCGGGGACCGAATTCAGAAATTCCGTAACGAAAAAACCCTCACGCTCCCCACTCCGACGGGCACGGAGGTGTGGCGTTGAAAGCCGTGCATCGTCTAACGTCGTTTCAGTTCGGCAGACTTCGGCACTCGGCGGACTTCGGCACGGTGTTTGTGTGCGTGCGACTAGACGTATGCGTGTACACTAGCTGCTAACTCAATGATAAAAATTCCTGAATAACCTACATGTATTGTAAGATATTAAAAATATTTTAAACAATATTAACTTCTCATTTATTCAATAAGAGAAAAAAAATTGTTTTCTTATCGGTCACCACGCTCAAAAAGTGTAACTTGATTTAATATCAAAGACTAAACTGCGTAAATAAAATAAATAAATAATTATAATTGCATAAGTTGATAAAAAATGCTACGCAATAGCTTTACCGCGGCAGTCACCGAGTGCCACATGTATTTTTAAGCTATTGCATAGCTTCTATCGCGGGCCTTGAGCGCGGGGACCGAATCCAGAAAATCCGTAACGAAAAAAAACCTCACGTTCCCCACTCCGACGGGCACGGAGGTATGGCGTTGAAAGCCGTGCATCGTCTAACGTCGTTTCAGTTCGGCAGACTTCGGCACTCGGCAGAGTTCGGCACGGTGTTTGTGTGCGTGCGACTAGACGTATGCGTGTACACTAGCTGCTAACTCAATGATAAAAATTCCTGAATAACCTACATGTATTGTAAGATATTAAAAATATTTTAAACAATATTAACTTCTCATTTATTCAATAAGAGAAAAAAAATTTGTTTTCTTATCGGTCACCACGCTCAAAAAGTGTAACTTGATTTAATATCAAAGACTTAACTGCATGAATAAAATAAATAAATAATTATAATTGCATAAGTTGATAAAAAATGCTATGCAATAGCTTTACCGCGGCAGTCACCGAGTGCCACACGTATTTTTTATTCAATGGAGATTACATGTAATTCTTACTAAAAGTTATTTTCTACTTTTACTACTAGTTCGGAAAGAAACCTCTGTCTTGGAAAGAATCATCAAGAAACCCTGTGGGACATTTTTAAAAGTAAATTATACAATATGAAAAGTTGTACAAACTATTAGTAAAATTTATTTTAGCAACAAATTGAAAGCGGCCACCTTATTCCTAGGAGTTATTATCTAACTTGTATTTATGTATATTATATTAATCCTTTTATAAATTTTTTGTTTAATAAAATAGATATTTTTAGAGATACGTGGTAATAGAAACTTCATTTGTTTTAGTGAATACACATAAAATATTAGTAAATATTAATTTAGATTATAAACCTGGTCCTGCTATCATCAATCCCCTCCTACGGAACGCAACGAATGAAACAAAACTTTATAACTGAGGTATGTAATGCTATACTCCGCCATATTAAAGAACTACCTGTTGACAGCTGTCACAATAATTAGACTAGGCATTCCAACATAAAAATCGGTGCCTAAAATATTCGATTCTTTAGAGATATTGATATCGATTCTTTAGAGTTGGTGATCATTTACAGTTTTATCTAGATTAATACTAGAATAAATCAGAAACTGAAAATACGAAATTTATCAGTTTTTCATATCTATTGCTTTCAGCTAATTTCTAGATACTATGTAACACATAATATATTAAAAAATGTAGAGATTCGATTACTTAAATATTTTACGGATTATTCGCATTAGCATGAATTTGAATAACCCAAACACTAAAGTAAGGTGCATAACGACATGTTATTGAAATAACGTCAGGAATAAAATTGATTTTGGTATTTTTTTTTAATTTGGATTTGTTTCATAAATTCGAATTTAAATTAAAAATTAAGAACTATACAAGTTAAAATGAAATATATATAAGTTCATAGTTTTTTTATATTTACGTAAAAAGTTATTTTAAATCGTGTGAGTACGCTTGTACAGAGTTATTCCGGAATAATTAAGGTAAAACGTCAAAAGGTATTGCTTAGATTTGATTGAGTATAGGTACTGCTGTTACGAGCTGATGATAGCAAAGAAACTTTACTATATTCCATATAAGATAAGGAGATGTATTATTAAATTCTTACTGAATTTACTGCAGTGGGGGCGGTATCCTTGTTTTGAACAGCTGTGATGATGCAGGCTCCGCAACCAGCTTCACGACACATATACTTGGTGCCGGTTAAACGAAGGTAGCTACGCAGATAATCCAGTAGTGTAACATCTGTGCTCACCTCACATCCAACTGAGAACAGTAAACAAATAAAATTAAGGAATGTAATCTCCTTCTCTCGCTTATAAAATGTATATAAGAGGTAGTTAGAAAAAGATAATTAATGACGATAATGATCGTGATTTTTGTCACGAATGGTGAAGATTATCAAAAGCTAGTGTACGACTACGATCATTATAATCATTACAGACGATCACAAGCCCACTGCTAACCATATTAGGCTGCCCGTCTCTTGAGTTCCTGACTTCATGCATGTTTCATCAGGTCGTCACTAAATCTATAGGGGGTCGCCCAACAGTCAACCGAGTACACTTTAGGACACTTCTCCATGAATAAATCGCCGCTTGATCGAGTCATTAGGAGATATTTATAATTATTTAGATTAATATTAAATAGTAGATTTGCTAAGATCGTAGTAATAAGATTAAAAAAATAAGATAATAAACTCCACTTCAAAGAAGTAAAAATAACACAATTATTTCTACGTATAACTTCTTAATATGGTGCTAATAACACAATGTCTGGACGAATAAAAGCCCTCAAATTCATAAACTATTATGTGGAATATTTTCACCTATATACTGACTCGTCACGGTATCTCTGGCCTAGAGACTTTTAATTTAGTATAGTTACTCATTTCGCAATATAGAAGCTCATTAAGAACGTGTGTTACGATAGTTCCATCACAAGAATTGCTTGATACTTTACATCTAGGTTCCGCAATAAAATATTATCGTGCGCCCAGCGTACGAGCGAGTAACACCTAGAATAACTTGATCATCGGCGTACAAAAGGCATTTGACGGTTAACTCACCCATTCTTAATCCGCATTCTTCAACTTTCAAATTTTGCAAACAACTGTCCATAAATAGGTTGAACAGCCACAGGGAAGCCACACAGCCCTGTCTGACACCTTTATGGATGTCAAACCAGTCCGAGTAGACCCCGTTGATCCTAACACAAGCACTAGAGTCCCTATAAAGAGACTCCAATGCCTGTATCAAGCCAGCGCTCAACCCAAATGAGTTCAGTGTTTGCCATAGCAAATCCCTATCCACTCTGTCATAGGCCTTTTCCAAGTCCATGAACGCACAAAAAACCTTTTGGTATTTGGCCAGAAACTTCTCCGCGATCACGCGCATGGAAAAGACTTGATCTGTAAATCCCATTCCCTTTCTAAATCCCGCTTGCACTTCCCAAATTTTTCCATCAGTTTCTTTCATGACCCTTTCAATCAGTACCTTAGCATACAGTTTTCCCACAATGCTAAGAAGGCTGATGCCACGGTAGTTTTTACAGTCCTGCTGCGACCCTCTTCCCTTATATACTGGGACTATCACGGCTTCTACCAGTCAACCGGTACCCGCTTCAGTTCCCAGCATAAATTAAACAAGGTGTGCAGCAGGCCTGCCACCACTTCCTCTCCAGCCCCTAGCATTTCGAGTGAAACTCTATCATATCCGGCAGCCTTACCTGCTTTCATGCTTTTCATTGCTTTCATTATTTCATCTATACTTATCTTGCTACCTCTTTCCTCTTCTTTCGGTGTTTCTACTTCACTTAGTACACACGTTGTCTCCTCACTCATAAACACGCTTTCAAAATATTCCTTCCATCTCTTTAAACTCAAAACTTCATCATTCAGAATATAGCTATTCTCGTCTCTTATAGCATTCATCATAGGCTGTTTTGAATGTCCACTGGCAGTTCTTACAAGTTTCCAGAACATTTTAATATTTGCCTGGAAGTTATCCGATATTCTTCTATCATTCTTATCCGTTATTTCTTGCTTTTTTTCTTTCAACTACTTCTTTTACTCTCTTATTAAGATGTCTAAAGACTGCCTTTTTTCTTTCAATATCACCAATCGTACCACTAGAATTAGCAGCCGTATAATGATCCGTTCCTACGTTAGAACCCCGGTAAACTCTCGTATCTACCACTGCGCCCCTCAACCTTTCATCCACAATTATGAAATCTATCATGCTTCTATCGTCACCTCTTTCCCAAGTATACATGTGATTTCTCTTGTGGCGAAAGCAAGTGTTCGTCAGAAAAAGATTCTTTTCCATACACACGGTGAGGAGACTTTCACCATTCTCATTTATACTTTCATCACCAAACGTTCCCAATATCCTTTCATAACCAAGCCTCCTGACCCCAACCCTTCCATTAAAATCTCCTAGCATAATAATATTTTCATTTCCCTTACACTTCATTAACACCATCAAGAACATACAGACAAATTGAGAACCTTCTCCTATTTTTACTCATTCGAGGTCAGGTTTTGAACAAATGTTTGCTCTAGCTGGTATTCGAACTTAGCATTGCTTCTTAATTAGAATTGATATCTATTTTTAAAGACAGCTATTAATAATTTATGGTATTGAGTTTGTTTGGGGCCAAGTTTTAATGACAAATAGTAACAGAAACATATTTATTGAATATTTTTTTTTATAGAATAGGGTGACAAACGAGCACACAGTCCACCTGATGGTAAGTGGTTGCTGCGGCCCATAGACATCTACATCTATCCTCCATTAAAAATCAAAATGCAGATGCGTTGTCACCCTTGAGGACTGAGATGGAATGCCTCGTTTCCAGTAAAAAGGGTCTCCGGTTCTCTACACTCACCATACGAAATACAGCAGCATTAAGCTACTATTTCACGCTGGTATTCTGTGAACTTAGATTAGTTAGACTGGAATATAGATTAAACAGATTTTTTTGTTCTATTGACATTGTACTCGTAAATAATGCTTATTGAAGGTCATTTTTATATTTGATTTATCACTGTTTCGAAAAATGCCTCAGCCCCGGGAACAACCAACAAGAAACCCAGCGGGACATTAAAGAAACAGCTTACAATCATGTAAAACTATCACAAAATTAACTACAGAAAAGAACCAATTTTTTTACTTATTTTTATGATATTGCGACGGTCGACATCCCAACGCAACGTCACCTGTGACCATAGGTGCTGTAAAGTACTTGAAATATACGTATACATATAACGTATTTGAATGTACAGAAAACAAATTAGATCATCAATCGTAAAATAAATTATAATTTAACAGAATATAAAATTCAAACAATTGAGCTAATTTAATAATACAATTGTAATTTTTAATTATGTTGCACTTTATCCTACAAACAACCTTTATCTGACGATTGGAAATTATTCCTTAAATTTTCACTTGATATTTTAATCAAAGCTGTCTGTAATTCCGCGTTAATATTCATAAATGCAAATATACAGGTATAATTAAATGTTATTTGCGAGTTCTTATGTAAGGCGTAAAAAACTGATAAGGCAAGAAATATAATCCGAAAACAGAAAATATGAAGAACTATTTTCTTGTTAAATACTACTGAAAAATCAATTTCAGTCACACAGCGTAAGACCGAGAAATGAAGCACCGTAATTTGTAAATATTGGAACATTGATATAATATTGGTATAGAATTTAATTGATTTTTTTTTATATAATACTGGACCACGTAGCGGTAGTGTGAGAATATGTACATTCTCATATTGTACCGTGGGTGTCGTAAAACGAGACAGAGGGATATTAAAACTGGAAAAGAGCAGCATCGTCTTCCTGACAACAACACAAAATAATAAGAAAACTGCATGCCAACTCGACCGGCAAGCGTGGCAAGTATAGCGAAATCCCCTCCCTCTGAGATAATCTATGGGGAAGGTCCGTATTTGGTGGTGGATTTTTAATAGGCTAAAATGGATAGCAATAAGACTGAAGTTACAAAGAAGCTTAGTCCACCCGAAGGTAAGTACAGCGAGTTAGAAAAGAAAGCTACAGCTCTGAGGACTAAGATGGACTGCTTTACATGTAATTATACAGGATTTCTTTATGCTTTAGACTGGAACATAGCAGTGCAAGCACAAATGTTTGGCGACGGAGATAGGTAAAAAGAACCTAGTCTACCCAGACGGAACTAGACCTAGAGAGAGAAGTATTCGCAGAACCTAGTAATATTAATTTTAAGTTGTGAAAATTATTACCTTCACACTACGATAATCACCTGTATCATGGTGACGTTCAACATATATAATTTACACATGGATAAACTTCCAGACGCGCTACAATCATCAAAGTATTTGCAGGCCAGTTAAATGTTTGTCTTGATTTCAACCCGTCGCATAGGGTCATAAAAATGACTTTCAATAAGAATCATTTATAATCTTTATTGAAGGAATTGTTTACCGCGTAGTGGTGGTGTAATAATATCCACTACCCCATATCATCTAGTGGTTGTCATAAGAAGCAAGGAAAGGAAACAAATCAGATGATGGGCAGCAGCGTCTTCCTCATAACGACTTAAAAATAAGAAAAATCGGCAATCTATGGAGAGGCCTGCGTGTAGCTGCAGTGGATAGACGAATGGAGCGATATTTTATTTTACACAGTTGTATCGACTCTACCGGTAACCGGTTACTGGTAACCATGTGATCCTTCCGACATTTCTCACAGTCGTCTGTTACGTCACTCACGGGATGAACTAGGGAAATAGTCTCTACTGCGCCGCCTCTTTGTTACGCCATAAGTATATATATATACAGAGTGTTTTTATCCTAGATAAAAAATCTATTTATATAGGAAATGTCTTTACAATAGGTTTGACTATTAAAACCTTTAAAAATAAAATTTATAAATTAATATATATAATTATCATCTCATTAAGTAACCTGTTTTAAACATGTTTTTCAATTACTTCTAAGCATAGATTATTATTCTGTAATTAGAGACATTGCATACATCTCGTCTTTGTTAATAATAAATTCAGCTTACGCAAAATTGTTAAACGCCAAAAGATGGTCAATGTATGATATAACCACTGTTATCGTAACAGGCTATTAAAATCCATTGGTGATCATAGGTATCCCCACTAGATTACCTCATAGTATGGATATTTGCCATAGGTGGCAAGCTTGGCAAGCGGGTTGGGAACCACAATTTCTTTTTAAAAGGCTTAGAAAGACGCGGCTACCCATCGCCTATTTTATTTCCATAATGACGTAACAATTTTAAATATAAATAAAGTACTTATAACGCCCTGTGGCTGCAGCGTAAGAAAATTCATCACTGAAACATTTTGTAGACTGGTGATTAGTGTAGAGTATTAGCTCTGTGATCATCTAATTGTCAGACTGCTCAGATTCCTGAGTATAATAGTATAGTAATATAATAGTTGAATGGAATTGGACGAGATTTGACGGGATGAGATGAGATAATAAAGAATTTTTTTTGTTGTGCATAATATTTTTGATTAATCTTTATTGGTGAGAATGTATGAATTGTAATTGGCCAGGTAAATAAAAATTGTTACTATTGGTAAACTAACGACGTAGCCAGACATACAAATATAGGCAGGGTTGACCAAAAATATACTCCATACTCCATATCCATACTCCATTCGTCTGCACATCAAAAACTAGTTTCATTTCTCCGCCACTAAACCACTCGGAGTCTGTTAATAGTGGACCTCATATCACCACTATTACATTACATTAAATAATAACGGTATACACTTAGTTAATTTTAAAAGTTAAGTTAAATTCGCAGACTATACACACACGTACTACTGCTGCGCACATGCCTCCTATTATTTCTGAGGGGGTCTGTCCTAAACCAAGGAAATGTGCACTGCCTTACCCCAATGCGTATTGCCAGACTTCACATGGCTTGGAAATATTTTTTTCTTATTTTTCAGGTGTTTTCCACACAATTTTTCCTTCGCCACCGAGTACATGGTAAATTTAATTTTGCTTAAACAACTTTCAATGAACATATCTTCTGTATCGTAGTGTCATGTTTACATTAAGGCAAATAAACTCAAAAAACCTCACCTGTACATACAGCACCGTTGACTTTGAATGTTATTCGATCCATAACTGCAGTATGCGACGTAGAATATCAGACTGACAGTAGGTAAGTTAGTGCGCAAATGTGTTAAATAAACAGTAATTAAAATGTAGATCAGTCAAAAGCGAGCTGGTATCGATGGCTGAAGGTTCCGTATGTTTATTTGATGTTTTAAATAAATAATCCCCTTTTTCTTCTTCAACCGGTTTAAGTTCAGTTCAACATGGGGCCCTTCGTCTTATGCTTGATTCCTATATTCAAGAAATGTTTCATTCTACGAAACGGTAAATAACATTTATAACATACTGAATAAAACAATTATTTACGGATTTTATCGCGTTTAATTACTACTTTACTTATTTTTACAATCCCGACATTTCGGATGCTTTACAGCACCCTTGGCCACGTGGGGGGGACTGAGATGTTTGACGTCCCAATGTCATAGTTAGTCCGGCTACCTTCAGTTTTTTAATATTAATTTTTGGTCCGATTTACGCAAAACGAGCTTGCAGTATCATGAAGTCTTGCAGTGGTATGCTTGGATTTGGGTTTATTTTTGTTAATTATAGGATCCCAAGTAGATCGCAGCACCCATCCATCATTTCTATTAAAATTTGGATGTTTTTTTAATTTCAATAGCCTCACGTATTATCCTTGGTAGGAATCGGTGTTCTTTTGCGAGGATTTGTGGTTTATCAAATCTAATGTAGTGGTGGGGACTGCAGACTTTCCGGAGCGTCGGTGCTTCACGTCAGCTATATGTTCCTTCACGCGGGTTTTTATAGATCTTTTTGTTTGACCTATGTAAGAGAGACCACATTCACAATCTAGCTTGTATACACCTGCATCTTGTAGAGGAATATTACATTTGATGGATGGTAAAAATTGACCAAACTTCTTCGGTGGCTTGTATATATTTTAATGGAAGCTCGCTTCAAGATATAGCCAATCTTGTCTGTGACTCCTCTGACATACGGTAGTACAGCAGGTGCGCGCTCCACTGTGGCCGGCTTCACTCCTTCACTGTGACGTAGGCGCGGGACCCAAAGCTTGTTGTATTGCAATACTTGCTTGACGTGCTGAAGCTCGGCGGCCAGATGTTTTCTGTAACAGAACAGATCTCTCGTGCTCTCTGAAACAAAGATTTACCCGGTGGATATGGCATTTATAATATACATTTAAAAACTATTTATTCAGAAAAACACCGGTTCATAAGTAATTAAGCTGATAATTTGTTTTAAAAAAGGGGTTTTCATTGAATGCAACGGCTCGTAAAAATGCTTTTTTTACGAAACGTTGCTTCAATGAAAACCTCTTTACTAGAATCACATCATTAGTAATATACACCTTAATTTTCACTTTTAGCTGACGAATTGATAATCAACAATCAACAAAAATACTAGACGTCTCCCAACTTTAACTCTGTTTGCTTTCCCCGGTCTAGATACTTTACGCCTGGAGTTAACGGATATGTTAAACGACCATCTATCTATCTACATACACAGATATAAAGTGAGACGCTGTACGCATTATAAAGAACGAATAGACGGCTCCGTGGCTCAGTGGCTTAGCAATGAGTGTCTGCTCTGGGGGCTGCGGGTTCGAATCCCGCACGGAATAAGTATTTGTATGACACCACTATTTGTATGATAACGCTATCAATACTTTTCATTTTTATTTATGTATTCCGTAAGTTAGTCATCAACACCACTCACAGCATTTTGAGAACATATTCTTTATAAAATTTTTTTGTCAAGAATTGAGGCTCAAAATTTAATCATACATAAGCATACAAGAAATTTGTTTTAAAATTATGAAACTACGAATCAAATCATAAATACCTAAACTATAAAAATCTTTTTTGTTTTATTTTTCTATAAAAATATTATAAATTGTTATAAATATTATAACTTGCCGAGTACATTCAATTAAAAATTAATTATTTCATTGCTAAGGTATACAGAACAAAAAGTGTTCAACGTAAAGCATCGTAATTACATAACAACAGACAGAGCAAAATACAAATTGCAATCCTAGACATCACAAACGGTTTATGACACCTTTGTTTTTAATTCCAAGTACGTACGTATGGAAAAGTTTGCAATTACATTGCACTATGATCATACATAATTTTAAAATAACTTATACAACGTTATGTTATTGTTACGAGCTTGAGGTTCGTGACAATAAAAATTGCCGATAGAATTACCTAAATTAACACTTTAATTTTCTTTACACAAACTAAAGTTTAAAACACCAATAATTAAGCACACTAATTCACTTTATTCCGCTCCGAAGCTTCGCTTGTCTCGCCAAATTCAATACTTCCCCGATCGCATCTTGCAGCGCCTATAAATACACATTAGTACCGAATCATCCAGAACATTCAAGTAAATACGCGCACCAATCTACAAAGCGCAGAAGGTTCGAGTCAGCTTCCAGAAGCTTAGTTCTTCGTTTCGACAACAGATGACGCTGTCGGTTGAAAGATTAGTGATGTCATTTTCTGGAAAGCTCTCCCCTCGCTCGTTACCCGACACTAGATGGCGCTAGTGCCAGATGTCAACTTAGCCGCGCAACACTGCCCCCTCCAAACACATGCTCGTCCCGGGCATTATCGGCCCCATAATAACGCGCCAGGCGATTCACATGGACGATCTTAGGATCTTAGGAGTCCCTCTTGCGCCTTTCTGTAACGGCTCCGCAATGTCAAGAGCTGTACTATCCCATGGTGCACCAACATTGTACAATTTCGGTGCTCCTCTACTACGTGTCTGAGGTCCCCGCACGGCCGCACAACTTGTACATGTACGGCACCAAGCCTCGACAACGTCACTATAATGGACCCAGTAAAACTGTTCTCGGACCTTCAGCAGAGTTCGTTTAACTCCCAGATGGACTCCTGAACGACCATTATGGCACAGCTGTAGAACATTCGGCACTTTAGCACAGTACTCCATCCTGAATCAGCAAGCTGTCCCATAGGGCCCAATAGCTTTTCGTGGTTGAACTCATCGCTGAGACGTCCCTCCACTTAGGCTTGGTAGCACGGGCCTTCATCCATTCCAGAATCGGCTTGATGTCCGGATCTTCCTGCTGTGAATGTCGCAGGCTGTCCTTCCACTCGATGCTGAGGTGGTCTGTCCTGAGCATCCTCACGGATACTACTTACTTACTCTCTTGCCTAGTACAATGTTTCCGATCTTCAGGACAAGGTCTTCTTGACGAGATGCATCGTTGCCATGAGATTTCCCGCTGCGATGTCTGATAGTAAAGTCGTATCCCGGCTGCTGCTGGGCGGTGATGTTAGCCGCACTTCCCTTCTGAGATCGTTCACCTTCCCTTTCTAGGGTTCGCTTAGGGCAGCTGGATCGAAGATGGCCCCTTTCCTCACAGCCATAGCACCTAGGGCTGTATCCTTTATTGTGGTCGCGAACTGTAGCTGCTGCAACCTCCCTGATGCGATGGGAACGATGATCCTGCCGCACGGCTTCTACCTCCAGTGCATGGGCCAAGGTGTCTTTAAGCGTCTCTTGGTGCCCGAGCCTCACAGCAACTCTGACTTCCAGGTCGCGGATGCCGTCGATGAATGTCTGCACCAGGTTCCCTTCAAGGAGCGCAGGTACAGACTGGTATGCTTTTCGCAACAGCTTCTCCACCTCTAGAGCCCACTGCTGCAGGTTTTCGTTGCTGCGTTGCACGCGATCTCTAAGCTGCGCTCGAAAGACGTGTTCCAGGTGAGCGTCGCCATATCTAGCCTCCAATGCCTCAAGGAGCTGCTCGTAAGTCACTTCTTTACCGAGAGCTTCTAGAACAGTTAAGACCCCGTCGCGCAAGCTTAGTGTGAGAGCAGTCATGGCCTGACTTTTATTCCATCCGTTTGCCTTGATAACAGCCTCGAACTGGATTTTGTAGGCCGCCCAGGAAGAAGTCCCGTCGAACGGCGGCACTTTGAATCCACGTACTGAAGGTGTTGTAGCTACCACGGGAGGTGTAGTTCCATCCCCCAGTTTGAGATCGTCCAGCGTTTTCTTCACATCAGCCACCACGTTGTCTACCCGATTGTTCACTTGGTCGATTTGGGTTTTAGCTTCCTTGATTTGGGTTTCAGCCTTCGCGATTTGGATTTCAGCTTCCGACAGGCGGTTGTCATGCTGAGCAACCCTTTCCTTAACCTCCTTTATCTCCTTCCCGAAGGTAGCGTGAAGATCCTTCATCAGGAGTATTTGCTCTTCCAACCGACGGACCTGTTATTCTTGTCCGCCCCGCAGCTGCTCTTCCAAATGACGTACCTGTTCCTCCTGTCGGCGGGCCTGTTCATCCTGTCGGCGAGCCTGTTCCTCCTGCTGCTCTTTCAACAGACGGACCTGTTCCTCTCGTCCGCGCTTCAGCTGCTCCTGTAGCATGGCCATCAGAGCACCTACGTCAGGTGCTGCAGATGTAGTAGCTACTGACGGGCCCGCAGCCTCCGTGGCTGGCAGTTGGCCCTCCGACGTCTGCGGCGTTGCACCACCAAATCTTCTCTGGTCCGTCTCATGCTGGCATTGATTGCGGGTACGGACACCCTCCGTTTCCTCTTTAGGTAAAATCGGCATGGTTTTATCCCACTTCAGACACCAATTGTTACGAGCTTGAGGTTTGTGACAATAAAAATTGCCGATAGAATTACCTAAATTAACACTTTAATTTTCTTTACACAAATTTAAAGTTTAAAACACCAATCATTAAAGCACACTAATTCACTTTATTCCGCTCCGAAGCTTCGCTTGTCTCGCCAAATTCAATACTTCCCCGATCGCATCTTGCAGCGCCTATAAATACACATTAGTACCGAATCATCCAGAACATTCAAATAAATACGCGCACCAATCGACAAAGCGCCGAAAGTTCGAGTCAGCTTCCAGAAGCTTAGTTCTTCGTTTCGACAACAGATGACGATGTCGGTTGAAAGATTAGTGATGTCATTTTCTGGAAAGCTCTCCCCTCGCTCGTTACCCGACACTAGATGGCGCTAGTGCCAGATGTCAACTTAGCCGCGCAACATTATTATTATTAGAGCACAAGTAAAAAATGCCTTAGCGTCTTAAAAATTTAGGATGGCAAGTAATATGATATTAAATGTATCGAATGTATAAAATTATTGAAAAATCACTATAACGGCTATCAAGTTTATATAACCGAACATTAAAATCGAAATGAACAATTTTATTTTTTAAGTAGCTTATTGTACTAACTTTTGGTTTCATTGCTTTTAGAAAAGAAAACAAAAATGTAATAACAGTGAATTACCCTTTTCAAGATTTAAGTAAAATTTACTACAGAAAGAAATCCAAGAAACGTAACATCAGTGTTATTTTAACTACAAAATATAAAAAATGAATTAACGATAAACAATGGTAAATTCAAGTATGTAAAAATGTAATATATCTTTTATTTCAATTATGTTTTCCGGGGCACAGGTCCTTACATATAAAAATGGCGTTTTGTACGGGAGGAATATAAATTCATTTTTTTTTTGTAAAATATATTTAATTAATCACAGTATGCACCGTTGTTTTCTATGCACTTTTGCCATCTTATAGGTAGTTCATTGATCCCTTTACTAAAACACCAAGGGGGCGAGAATCAAAAAACTCCTTGAAGGCGGTTTGGACTGCCGCATCGGCGTTGAATTTTTTCCTTGTAAGAAGTTGTCCAAATTCGGAAAAAATGGTAATCTGTTGGTCCGGGATGTCCTTATGTCCTTGATGTTTATATATCCTTATGTCCTTGATATCCTTGATAGTATTGGACCATACCCTGCGACAGAATCAGATGCTTTATTATGCTTAGACTGCTGTGTTTTTAACTCTTTAGAAAGGAATATAATTTTGTTATGTACGATGAGATATTTAATACAAAATTCCTACATGAATCCAGTGACAATTAAAAGTCAGACACTTTTTCATAGTCATAGTCATTTATTCCATAGAACAATATTACATTGTATTGGAAAATTATTTACACAAAATGAAGAATTAGGTTTACATGCAATTGACTTAAATAAAACTAAAATCGAATAAAATTTAAATATCATATCATATCAATGAAATATTTATGTACAGAAAACAGGATTCAATAAATTATGATTTTTCCATTAATTTTATTTTAAACCCTACTATAATAAAAAAAACGTGTGAAACTGAAATAAAATTCCATAGTTTAGTGACCTATTGGTTTTATTTTAATTATTAAGTATTATTTAGACGTAATATATAGAAAAACTATTGTAAATTCGAGTCCAAATCTGCATGATCGTCTACAGATGTTGAACGCATGAACTATATACTTACATACCAAAACATTGCCAACTTTTAACAATCCGACAATTATTCATTTATCTTACTATTTTAAAACAACACATGATACTAAATTTTAGTGAGACAAAGTGTGCCATACTGTTTACCTTTGAATATTCCTATGCACATAAATATTTTTGTTTTCTTGGTCCATTCTTGTACAATAAAATAAATAAGCAACTAAACATTTTAAATAAGAATCAATGTAAAAAAACCTATTGAAATGGCTTCAAAAACTAGATTTTTTATAGGAAGGGGTGACAAACGAGCACACAGTCCACTTCTCTACACTCACCATACGAAACACAACAGCATTAAGCTACTATTTTACGCAGGTATTCTGTGAGAGCGTGGTCCTTCCCCGGTCGAGCCCACCCATTCATGCTACAGCCATAATAGCTGCAGCGTGGATCTACCACGTAAATGATGAAACAGAAGAATTATTGAAATCCCTAAATAACAACTGAATTACTTTTATAATGTATAATTAATACACTATTAAATTATATCTTCTTATTATAATTATTACTTTAATGAATAGGTACCTACTACTCAACCTCTCCATCGCAAACACACAAAACACACACATACGAAAGGAACAATTTACACTCAACACTTAAAAACTAGCCTATATAGATTTAAGTTTAATTTTGATATAAAGTAAAGTAAAAAAAGTAAAGTTACAGCCTATATACGTCCCACTGCTGGGCACAGGCCTCCCCCTCATTTCTGAGAGGGTTTTAGGGCAAGGAAGTGTCCGCCGCGCTGCCCCAATACGTTTTGGCGAACTTCACATGTCTTCGAATTTTTTTTTCTTATTTCTCTGACATGCAGGTTTCCTCACGATGTTTTCCTTCACCGCCGAGCACGTGGTAAATCAGCACTTAAAATTGCAATTAACAATTTTCTTAATCATTAAGATTTCTGTTAAAATGTCCCATAAGAAAGAGCGCTATTGCGGGAAATACAAGCTTGTTAATTTTTTCCTGAATAAAGAACTAATTATTATTTTGGGGTATCTATATAGTTTTCTCATCTGGTTGGGTGCTATAAATATATAATTATAAATGAAAATGAAAAGATAAATATACATAAATATCAATAACATAAAATAAATATAAAAGTGCATAAATAAATAAAAGCCCAACCAGATGGAGGCCCTCGGCAGGGGAGACCAAACGGCCGATGGTTAGGGGGAAAGGGAAAGAAACCGGCGGACGATGCGGGCGGTATCGAGGAGCACCGCCTTCTGCATTTGAACCTGGAGCGATCCGCCACGTAGTCCCAGCCGCCTCAGATGACCCGAGAGGCTGACTGGGATTAGCCCGTTTGGAGAGACGACTACAGGAATAATTTCGGTCGGCAGACCACCCCACATGTCGGTCACCTCGTGAGCCAGGTCCAGATATTTTGTTTGCTTGTCTGTTTCGGCTTTCACGAGGTTCTCGTCATACGGAATGGTAATGTCGACCAAAAATATCCTTGACTGTGCCCGGTCCATCAGCACAATATCAGGCTTATTCGCAAGAATAATCCTGTCTGTGATGATGGCCCGGTCCCAATAGAGCCTGGTGCGATCATTTTCGAGCACGGCTTCCGGCAAGTACTTGTAATACGGCAATTTCCGATCCACGAGACCGTATTTCAGAGCGAGCTCCTGGTGTAGAATTCTGGCTACTAGGTTGTGCCTGTGCAAGTACTCAGAGTTAGAAAGCGCCGAACAACCGGAGATAACATGCCTAAGTGACTCACCGGGATGGCGACAAGCTCGACAGATGTCGACGGTGCCATCCTTTAGGATGTATCTCCGATAGTTGTTGGTCTTAATAACCTGATCCTGTATTGCACAGACAAAACCCTCGGTTTCCCCCGAAGAGATCACCAAAGCGTAGCCAGTGGAGGGAGGCTACTGTATCTACGAAAGGCTCATGTATAGCCTTGTAGAACCTCCCGTGGAGCTCCTTCTCCTTCCATACGGTCTCCCGGTCGGAAATGCTCTGCACTGCCGGGTCTTGCCATTGCTCGTTGGCTAAGGATAGAGGGGTAAGTCCTTTATCACAAGAAATGACGTCCTTATAGAATGGATCATCCGATCTCGCCAGGAAGTAATCACGGAGGCTGCACACTTCGCGATTATGCATGGTGAGCGCGCTCAAGAAGCCACGACCACCATGCTTCCGCGGCAAATACAGCCTCATTACCGACGATCTCGGATGATGCATCCTATGGGACGTCATTGTAGTGCGGACTTTTCTATCCAGGGCGTTAAGTTCAGTCTGAGTCCACCTGAGTATGCCAAAGGTATACATGAGGACAGGCATGACCCAGCCGTTATATGCGTGTGCCTTATTCACACCGGATAAAAGGCTGTTAAGCACTTTGGTCAAGCGTGCATAAAACACGTCGCAAACTGACTGTTTCATACCAGTCTCATCGATACCGATGTTTTGTGACATACCCAGGTATCGGTATGTTTCAGCCTCGGAAAGGGTCCTTAAGTTGACGGGCATAGATAAGTCTACGCCCTCAGAGTTAGCAACCCTTCCCCTTTCAACATGGAGTACCGCACACTTATCCATCCCCAGCTCCATTCCAATGGAATTGCTAAATTCACAAGTGATGTTTAGCAATTCCATAAGATGGGAGCGACTGGAGGCGAATAACTTGAGGTCATCCATATAGAAAAGGTGGGTCACTTTTGTCCCTCCTTTCCGTAGCTGAAATCCCCTCCCGGAGCCCTCCAGTAAGGTACTGAGAGGGTTCAGAGAGAGGCAGAACCATATTGGACCCAGACAATCGCCCTGGAAGATACCCCTTCTTATCCTTATGTGGTTCTCCGCAGCCATCATCCGCTCGCCCAGATGACAAAGGATCGTACTCCACTGCCCCATACACTGGAACTCACTCAAGGAAATCTCTAACTGTGCAGTCTATCTTGTACAGCTGGAGGACTCTCTTTAGCCATGTATGGGGCACCGAGTCGAATGCCTTTCTGTAGTCTATCCAGGCGGCGGAGAAGTTCCGACGGTTGCGTTTCACCACTTTGCCAATGACCGCGTCAATGAGGAGTGGTTCCTTGGTTCCACGACCACCGCCCCGACATCCATTTTGAGCGCGCGACATCACCTGATTTGAGTCCAGGTGACAAGTGATTCTCGCGCTCAAAATGGATGTTAGTGTCTTGTATATGGTCGGTAGACACGTGATGGGGCGGTATTTGCTCGGGTCTGTGGTACCCTGGTCTTTAGGAACCAAATGAGTGATCCCAGTAGTGAAGAGGCTTGGGAGCGACTTCTGGTTGAGAGCCTCTTGAAACTGTCGGGCGAGCACAGAGTGACACACCATGAACCCCTTCAGCCAGTAGTGATGCAGCCCGTCAAGCCCCGGACTTTTCCAGTTCGGGGCCCTACGGACCGCCTCAGCTACGTCATCCGGCGTTATGATGACGGGGTCCATGAGCGTAATACCCGCACACTGACTCGCCACAACTTCCGTCCAAGGGCCCTCGCTATGGTTTACGGGCTCTGACCACAGGCCGCGCCAGAATGCTACAGTGTCGGCCTGATTCGGTGCTGGACCCGTTCCACTTACCATTGGTCGCTCCAATGATTCATAGAGCCTCTTCTGATCACTCTGGAAGAGACGATTCTGGTTGAACCGTGTCGACCTCTCGGTATATCGCCGAATCCGCTTTCCCCAAGCAGCGATTCTCTGCTTCAGATCATCTATGCGCTCCGTCAGTTTTTGCGTTATATCCGGCTGGGACAAACTGACATTTGTCCCAGCAAACGCCATCCTGACGGTGCGCACAATTCTTGGCCTGTTGTTGCCTGATCTGAAGCATATCAGTCTGCCGATGAGAGCTCTAGCCTTTGCGATACGTTCCTCAATTCTTCTTCTCCATGCTGGGATAGCGCTACTATGGCCAGTAGCGCGTCCAGCCGTGGAAACCTTGGCGCCTATGATACGGCAGACTGCCAGCGCGGCGCCAAAAAGAATTGAGTGCGTCTCGCAAAGGTCCCGGCTGGCTTCCAAATAGGTAACCAGCTTTGGGTTCAGAGCCCTCACGACAGCCCGATTCCGCTTGCTTAGGGCTATGCGGGGAAGTCGCGGTCGATTTTCGAGAGGCGTACTGCGCGTTTCCACAATCGCCTCTTCCAATATACTCCTCATATGCTCTAATTCCAGTTCCTGGGCGACTGTTCCATCATCGTTTGAATCAACCACAACTGGGGTATTCACGGCGACATCCACGTTTGCGGGTTGCTCTACCATTTGTGGCGCCGCATCCTCAGCCGTAGCATTCTCATCCGACGAGGGAACAGCCTCACGTCGTAGCCGTTCGAGTTCGGCGACATCAAATATATTTGAGCGCAAGATATACCGAACTCGGTCTGCCAGGTTTTGCTCTGTGACGGTTAAAGATGGCTCCAGCTCAGCAAAAAGACGATGCATCCTAGTCCGATACGCCAAACATCCAGTTTCTTCCCCTTTTGCCCTAAAGTACGCCCGCAGTGCGTTTGCATTCATTTCTTGTGACCAACGCATGCGACGTGCTCCACCAGCGGCGGGTGCCGCTTGCTGAGTCCGAGAAGACCCAGCCGACACCAAGCCTTCTGGTGGGGATGATGGATGCGGAGGGCTGGTAGGTGACCGTGCAGCTCCTCGCGCTCGGCTGGCGGCCCGCATGCTGCCGCGTCCAGCGCCAGCTCCAGACGCGCCCCGGCGACCCCCAGGCAGCGGCCCTTTGCGCACTATCTTTTTATCCATCATCCATTACTTGGGCGTCCATTAACGGGAGACGCCCAGGCCCGGCACCGTTTCGTGTGTAGCCATAAGCACAAACGGGCCTCTGCACCCTAAATTCTGCCGCGGCACGGCGCTCACACCTCTCGCAAGGCGCTGACTGACTGCGTTGACGTAGCAGTTTTGTCACTTAACTGTTACGTCAGCGGGCGATGTGGTCGTCAATTCCCTACGCAATTTTATTATTATTATTATTATTATTATGTTGACGATTGTGAAGGAGTCGTTTGATTGTAGTGGCAAATAACCCTTCGCGGATGCGGATGTTTGTGCAGGCGTCATTTGATTAATGATCAGTGGCAAAGGCTCTTCAATATTGACACCGCATAGAGTAAATGACATATTTGATGACAAGTCTCCAGAATCGGGGCTACTTAATTCTTCGGAGTAACGGCTTACAGGAGGACACTAAACTTGGGTATTTTCTTCTTCCATGAACACGTCTAACAATTTTCGTTGAACAAAGAGTTTTCTATTTCGTGGTACTTCTTTTAAGTATGGAAGCAAACTCAACAAAAAGTTACGATCAGGATAATCTGTAGATTTATCTGCTGACCTGGACTCGTGTAATTGAAGTTTTCTTTTTTCGATCTCTAAATAGTAAATACTCTTGGTTCACATCAATATTTCTCTTTTTCATAAGTCTTCCAGGTTGATTGGATGTAAAACGATGAACTTGCATTATAGGTACACGAATAGGTTTAGTATGTGGTCTAGTACGTTATTGTGACGTGGAGAATACTGTTTGGCTCTAATTCGAAGCTCCTAGATGCGACAAAGATGAAAGTCTAGGCTGCAAAGGCGCGGGTGTGGGCTGCGACAAAATTGAGAGTCCAGGCTGCGATACTGTTTGTGGCTGTGATTCAGGTGAATACTTAGAAAAATAATGGTACTCCGCATTATCTTCAGTTTCTTGGCTGGGAGGTTCAGGCACATTTCCGGTTAAAGTCCGTGTGATTTTTTTCGCCAAGAATAATAACGATTCGTAATATATCCACGAAGTTAATTTGTGATCCGCAGCAGCACCGGATCTACCTGGTTCATTGCATTAGTTATATTCTTTACGGAATTGGTCCCTTAAGTTGGTCCATTTTTTTATTTCTGGAAGCGCCATATCCATTTCCGATGCAACTTCAGCCCACAACCGTTTCCAAACATCTCAATTATTGTAATTTTTTGAGCGTTTAACCCACAGGGTTGGTCTATTGAAAACACAACTAATTAATTTTTCAATATCCATAGTCGTTTAGTTGTATAAGAACGCTGACAGAAACAACAGAATAAATACAGATTTATTAAATTAAACTATAAATATACTAAATGATATTATCACTACCGCACTCAAATACAGAATTTGAACGCGTATTTGGTGCTATGAATATAGTTAAAAGCAAACTGCGAAACAAGCTATCGGAAAAACACTTTGAAATTCTTCTGATAAGAAATCAGTTAAGGATTAAAAAAATAATTGCGCAATGTATGATATTCCTAAAGATGTTGACAACCAAGTCGGTAAGGGCAAACCAAAGATGGGAACCGGAGACATTGGCGAAGCTTTAACTTCCGCTGAAGTTCTTTTTGAAGATCTGGATCCATACTTCGCTATCAATTTCGAAATTTAGGTACAAGAACGTACTGAGCTAATTGTTTTATTTTTAGTAAGATGACTAATGTTTAAACGTACTAGTTTAAAGATTAAAGATTTATTTTTTACATTTTTTTATTTTGTACATTTGTTTTTGTTTTGGTTGTCATGTCATTAACCTACACTATAAATAACTGATAATCATAAATCATAATCATAAATTTTTATTTGCAAGAAATTGATTTATATGAAATAGAGTCCGCTCTTTTTAAGCAAGATTTTTCAGTTAGCCCAATGGTAGCACGAAAATGTACCTAGGGACATCTAGCGGATTTTAAGAAAGAGAAAAATCCTATTTCTGGTGGATTTTTTCTGTTAGTCTAAGGACTTTAAAATTTGTAGGACGGCAACCCTGACGCCGGCAGTCTGGCGAGAAATCTCAAGAAGTTCGGATCGGCCGTTTTCGTGCGTTATCGGACGATTGCGGTTGTGTTGGTGTACGCACTCTCGGATTAGGTGTAAGCGAGCCCTTAGATATAGTTTAACTTAATAATTCTGTATTTTCTGTTTCCATTTGTAGATCCACGCTGCAGCTATTATGGATGTAGCATAAATGGGTGGGCTCAACCGGGGAAGGACCACGTTCTCACAGAATACCTGCGTAAAATAGTAGCTTAATGCTGCTGTGTTTCATATGGTGAGACACACTTTGTCTCACTAAAATTTAGTAACACATGTAGTAAGATAAATGAATAATTGTCTGACTGTTAAAAACTTGGCAGTGTTTAGGTATATATATAGTTCATGCGTTCAGCATCTGTACACGATCACTAACGCAGATTTGGGCTGGAATTAACAATATTTTTCAATTTATTACGTCTAAATAATACTTATTAATTAAAATAAAACCAAGAGGTCACTAAAATATCGATTTTTATTTCAATTTCACTCGTTTTTTTTTATTACCTACATTAGGGTTGAAAATAAAATTAATGGAAAAATTATAATTTATTGAACCCTATTTTCATTACAAAAGAAGTGTTTGAAAGCTTCACGAATATTATAAGCTTCAGTCGTACTTCTGTTTTGCCCTCTAGAAGCATATTTACCTTCTTTGACCTAAATTTCTTCTTTGATCTGTGGAATCATTGTGCCTTGGTTGTCCTTCTTTGGCTATAACAATGTTGTGTAATAAACAAATACACTTTACAAATAGTCTCAGCATTTTCTGTAGTTTCTTCTATACATTTGGTCAATATTCTACATTTTTGTGTTATTATACCAAAAGCGCATTCAATTACTACTCTGGCATTTGATAAACGTTCGTTATAAATTGTTTCCCGCTCTCCCAGGTTACGTCTTGGATATAGTCTCGTAATATACCTTTTTTATAGGATAGGCGTCATTTGCTAGTAATACCAAGGGCAACAAAGTATTTGTATTTGGTAAACATTTAGAAATATTTAAACACCCACTTTCAAACTGACGAAACAACGCCGAAGAGGCAAACGTACCACCGTCGCTTTGTTGTCCATAAGCTCCTACTTCAATAAATAATATTTTTATGAGGGCTTGCAACCGCTTGAAAAAAAAATAGAAAAAAAATCTTGTAATTATAGTACAAACTACCAGAATTGGAAGGACGTTTCATTCGAATATGTTTACCGACCAACGAACCAATACAATTAGGAAATCCCCACTTTGACCAATATAATTTCAGCATGGTGGATCATTTCGTCAGTTGGCATAGGCATATGATGTGATACTAGACTATGAGATATAGCCTTGCAAGTCTCTCTGACAATTATTCCAACGGCACTATTTGACACTCTAAACGAAAATGCTAAAGATCGAAAAGAATCTCCAGTGGCAAGGTACCTGAAATGAAAGGTAACGTGTTAATAATTATGTCACAAGAATAAAGTACCTAACTAACCCTACAGCAAATCTATAAAATTACATCAATCTATACTTACCGCAATGTTATTGCGAATCTTTCCGTCGGTGATATACATTCCGTATAGTTTGTATTCTGCTTTGTTATTAGTGGTTCGACTGCATTTAAAATATTATATTGAAATGTGCTAAAACACATTCTTAAATATTCGAAGAATTTCATGGGTTGTAATTTTAATTCTTCAAACAGGTGGTTGTATTCACCTAGTTGTTTTCTGTACATAAATATTTCATTAATCCACACACGCCGATGTCGCCGACGATGACGTCGACGAATTAAATTGCGGTATGAATTTTCAAAAAGATACATTTCTTCAAATTCCTCCATTTTAAAAAAGCGTCTGTTAAGAAGATAGAGTAAGTCAGCTCAAATTCTAATTTCGCCCCCACTTCCCCGCGCGTCGTATGCTATGTACCGACATGTTTGTAATCACTAATACTGTAAGTAGATAGGTCGTTAGATACTTATTTCATTAGGTTTATCATATTTATGCCTGTTTCTTAACGCGAACCCAGTCACTTCTTATTTTTATAACGGTTATTTCCCATTTTAATGTTACGTCGTCCTGTTGCGTAATGTGTATTCTGATCGTAAGCGACACAACTTCTCCCTTCAAAAGCCGGAGCGATACTAACGGGGCGACAGGAATCAAGCTTACGCGCCGATAGTTTAGGTAATTTCTTTTTACAGTGAAAATAATGGTATTTTAAAAAAAGTAAATAACATAACCACTGCTTTATAGTTAGTCCAGTTAGTATGCAAAGTTTCATGATCTTATTTAAAGTATTTTATGAATAACAGCGGTTTATTGTTTATTTTGGAGGTAACTTTGGATTTTTTTTCTATCGAGAAAATTTTACGTCTAACATAATCCTTAACATTAATCCTCAACTTTACCATATATTAATTTCAAAATTAATGCTGCAATATTTTCGGCATAACGAAGGATCTTGCTAAGCCATTTGACATTATATTTCCCCTTAAGCAACAGAGTCAACTACAAAATACCGGCAACATCCTATGTCGGCACTGTAGCACATACATGTCCAAGTTACTCGTCCGGGTAGTTTCGTCCGCCATCGGCCAACGAAATCGGTTTTGGTGTACACGTACCGTCAGGCTTTTGAGCGAAAAAAGAACCTACCCTCTTATCACCAGCAGCGACGACCAGTCGTGGGTACAGTTATTTAGGAACTTCACTGCACGTGGACCCCACGGACCGATAGTCTCTACAGCAAATGGCGCAAATATATAGTCATTTCTCAAAGACTCATATTTGCGCCATTTACTTATTCGACCCTATCAATATTTGTCTGTCTATCTGTCTGTAGTACTAATACCGTATTGTTAGTTTTTTCCATACTTTTTCTAATATCGTCTGTGTCGTTATTTAAAGAAGTAGTGGTGCTATGATCAGGACGA